CCACTGGAGGAGTTTGGGATGCAGACAGGGTTGGTACCCTCATCTCGTGCACGCTGGCTGCCAGCAGAGGGAGTAGCGGGTGTCCTTGGAGGGCTCAGGGAGGGGACAAGGTTCTGGGGACACTGCAACGTGAGCAGGAAAAGCTGCCAGGGCTTGTGGTCCTGTACCAAAAGGAGGTACTCCATGAGGTTTCGGCTGCCGGGTTGTGTGGCAGGTTGAGATTTTCCTCCAAGCCCCAGCTGAGGGGCAGCTCAACAGGAATCAGAACCGCCTCCAGGTCAATCTGCAGTGCACATCTTGGAGCAGGACAGGAAGAAAAGACTCAATGAAAGGAAAACTGAATTCTAAATTGAGATGGTGTTCATTATCTGGGTTGATTTAATGGGTTTTTTTTTCCAGGGTTTTTATGAGAGTCTGTGCTTTCAGAAGGCAAACAGAGCTGCAGCTTCTTTCAGGAATTGCTGGCAGTCTGTCAAACACAATTTGGTAAATATTGCCCAGGCATTGAAGACAGCACTGAAATTAGTAAAAATAGCAACTTTTATTGAAAATAAGTCTCTGTGTGGATGTGTACAACCAGCTTGAGACAGGGAGGTGTTGGATAAAGGGAGGATTGATTACATGGCTCAGTCACTGAGCGCAACAGAGGCTTCGTTGCCTTTGTGCTGCAAGAAAATCCCTGTTAGCTTCAGTCCTTTGCCTGGCCCCAAATCCTCCCAGGGCTGTGGATCTCCCATTGCTACCACCCCATCTTCTAAAGCCCTCCTAGACCTCAGCATCTCCACACACCTCCAATACCATTTTCATGATGTCCTTCACACACCCACAGTCCTGCAGCCCCCCAGCTCCACATCCTTCCCAGTCCCACCCCATCCAGCTCCATCCCAACCCTATCTCTCCCTGTACCTCTCCCAGCCCCATCCTTCCCTGTATATCCCCTCATTCCCTTCCCAGACCCACATCCATTCCCTTCCTAAAACCATCCATCCCAGTCCATGCATTTCCACCAGTGCCATCTCACAGCCCCAGCTCTGGCATCCCCATGAAAGCCACCTCTTGCCAGCCTGGCACCCAAATCCATTTGGTGATGGCTTCAAACAACCACAATTCACCTCACTGAGTTACAAGAATGAAACATCGCTGCAGCATTTGGATGGGGGAAGCACAGTCTGGGTGCAATGAACTGATGGTTCTCAGGTCATGGGTAAATATTCTCAGCTCCACAGCCACAGGCAGGTCTCACTGGTGCCACCCAGCACAGAGCAGGGCAGGCACCTCATCTTGGCTTTCCCTTTTTCCAAAGCCTCCATTATCTTAAGGACCTGCAGAACCCAGCCACTCCAGGCTGCTTTGGCTGCTTCAGGAAAAGGAGAACAGGATCAATGTTGGTGGTTCTAAGAAGATGCAGGGGGGATGTGACAGCCCCACATGTCCCACTGGGGCTGTGTCCCTGCTATGGCTGAGCTGCCCTCAGATCTGCCCCCTCAGCTCCTCTGCCTCCTGCCTGGGTGCAGCTGTCTGGAAAAAGCAGGGAAGGGGAGAGCAGCTTGGTCCCAGGCACTCCTTCAGGGCAAAGACAAAGGGGAGAATCCCTGCTCTGTCCCAGGGGCTACTTCTCCCCTCTCAGAGAAGGAAGGAAGGAAATGTGTGGCAGCTGCCAAAAGATGCGCTGTGCCCAGCTACCCCCAGAGAACAGGTAGCACCCAGCCAAGCCCAGAGCACAAGGATGGGCTCCCAGCCTGCTCTTAGGATAAATGATGGGCACCCAGCCTGCATCAAACCCTTCCCAGCCCACAAACAACCCCCAGGGGGTCCTCACCACCCCTCCTTGCACCAAACCACTGGAGGCTGCACCACCTATGGGTCCCCCTGAGCAGTGACACAGCCCCCATGAGCTCCCATCCCACCCCACTCATCCCATGCCACAGTGACTTCCCACAGGACATCCCCGGACCGTGGGACAGCCCCGGCTGCCTCCTCCCCCCCGTGAGAGCCCCCCTTTGCTGCAGCACATCACGTCTCTCTTTTCTCTCCGCAGCCTTTCAGCCGAGGAGCTTTTTGCTGGCGAAACACAAATCTGGCGGCGGCCACGGCTGCTTTGTGCGGCCGCTAATGCTAAATGACTGCTCCTTTGTGCGGCCGCAATGCCCGGCCCCTGGGCGAGCGCCTGGGAACGGCTCCAGCGTACAATGGGGTGCAGCCGGGAGCCACCTCAAAGCAAACATTGACTTAAAAATTGGTGTTAACCAGGCGGGCACGTCAGACCTCTTGGGAAACACAGCCCTGCCGCTGCTGCTTTGTTGGTGGAAGCACAGCCCCACCGGGACGAGTGTTGTAAAGGGGGTTTGATGCATCAAGAGAGCTGCACCAAGAGGGTGGGGGACTGTGATCAGACAGAGTGTGGTATTTCTACACGGCTTTATCAGCACAGGGAGAAAAGATGGGTACAGGTTTGCTCCAGAGCACCATGATGGGCACCCAACCTCCTCCACAAGGAGGGCTCCCAACCCGCTCAGTGTGCTGGTAGGCACCCAGTCTTCTCCAGAGGGCAATGATGGGCACTCAACTCTGCTCCAGAGCAGAATAATGGGCAAGCAACTTCCTTGAGAACATAAGGTTAGGTACCCAACCTACTCCAATGCTGAGGAGTGAGCACCCATTCTGCTCCAAAGCATCACAGCCATGCAGCCTGTCTGAAAGAACAAGGATGGGTGTGCAACCTGCACCAGAGCTCAATGGTAGGCACCCAACCTGCACCACAGAATCACAGTGGGCATGCAACGTGCTCCCGAGTTGAGTGGTAAGCACACAACCTGTGCAAGAGCACCATGGTGGACACCCAATCTGCTGCAGAGAGTGATAGGTATGCAAGCAGATCCAGACCTGAATGGTGGGCACCCAACTTGCCCCAGGACACAATGGTGGGCACGCATCTGGCTCAAGGGCTCTGTGGTGGGCACTCGACCTGCCCAAAGCCACCTCTGGCTGCTCCCCGCTTGTGGCAGAACAAGGCTGGATACAAAGAGAGGGATCATACTTCATGGCAGCTGTATGCTTCCATCTCCCTCTGCCTTCAAAGGGGGTTTCAGAGAGCCAAGAGGATCTAGCATCTGAGCAAAGGCAGGAGTTGGATGGGAGGCACCACGGGCAGCACGTGCATCACCCAGGTGAAGGTTGGCACAGGAAAATTGCACAAGCATGAATGAGACTGGGCTCAGTCTCCAGGAGGGCTGGAGCTCCCCCTGCACAGACAGGCTGAGGGAGCTGGGGTTGTTCAGTATGGAGGAGAGAAGGCTCTGGGAATACTTCATTGCGGCCTTCCAGTACTTAAAAGAGCTGATAAATGAGAGAGAGAGTGACTTTTTACATGGGCAGATAGTGACGAGGGAATGGCTTTAAAGGGGAAGATTTAGGTCAGATGTGAGGAGGAAGTTCCTTACTCAGTGGCGGTGAGACCCTGGCACTGCTGTCCAGAGCTGTGGGTGCCCCATCCTGATGTACCCAAGGCCATGGATTGGCTCTGGGCAGCCTGAGCTGAGGGGGCCGGGGGCTGTGAGGTCCCTTCCAACCCAAGCATGCAGTGGGTCTATGAATCTCTGTTAGCCCAGCACCCGATGGGACACGGCAGCAGAGGGACCATGGGGATGGACGTGCCACATTGAGGTGGACTCGGTGACCCCATGCCCACGCTGGATGTGTGCTGTCCCAAAAAACCCAGATGTCTCCAGGTGCTGCCATGCTGCCGGCACCAATGGCCTCCAGCAAGGGAGGCACGAGGGCCTCCAACTCCGCCATGGTCAATGACAGACTGCCCGGCTAATTGCAGAGGGCAGAGAATTAAGAACGCAGATGGAGCTGAAGCACAGGGTTGGCAGCGGAGATTGGTAGTGGGGCAGGTCAGTCTGACCCTATGGAGCCCTGGGTTGAGGGCTGTGCCTGGGTTTCAGCAGAGAGCTGACAGAGCCTGGGGCACTGGGATGGGAAGCAGGACAGAATCAGAATGGCCAGGGTTGGAAGGGAAATCAAGGATCATCAAGCTCCAACTCCCATGCCGCATGCAGGGCCACCAACCTCCACATTTAATACCAGACCAGGCTGCCCAGGGCCCCATTCAACCTGGCCTTGGACACCTCCAGGGATGGACGGGTAATCTACAGCCTCTCTGCACAGCCTGTTCCAGCACCTCACCACTCTCATAGGAAAGAACTTCCCCCTGACATCCAACCTAAATCTTCCGTCCCTCAGCTTCAAACCATTTCCCTCATCCTGCAGTTATCTACCCTTTCAAAGAGTTGATTCCCCTCCCCTCTGTAGGCTCCCTTTAGGTACTGGAAGGCTGCAGCGAGCTCACCCCGCAGCCTTCTCTTCTCCGGGCTGAACAAGCCCAGCTCCCTCAGCCTGTCCTCGTAGGGAAGGTGCTCCAGTGCCCTGATCATCTTTGTGGCTCTCCTCTGGACCCTCTCCAACAGCTCCCTGTCTTTCTTGTACTGGGGACTCCAGGCCTGGACACGGTACTGCAGATGGGGCCTCACAAGGCAGAGCAGAGAGGGACAATCACCTCCCTGTCCCCGCTGCCACCCCTCTTCTGATGGAGACAGTGGCAGGAAGGGAGGCGGGCGGCCCGCTGGGACACGTGGACCACACTCGGTGTCCGTGAAGGACGGGGACACCGCGACAGAGCGCAGGGACGAACCCCACGGGACCGCGTGGACATCTCGGGACGTGCCGCTGCTCCAAGCCCGGCACAGGTGGGCGGCCCCGGCTCCTCGACCTCGGAGACTGGAAGAAGGCGGCACGTCCCTGCCCTGCCCGCGGCCATTTCTCAGTCTAGAAATAGGAAAGCAGGAAACGCAGCAGATCCGTGCCGGTGGGAGCAGCGCACATCCCGGCCGCGCCGCACCGCCCGGCTCCGTCACCACGCGTAGAGGCTGCAAGGGGGAGGAGGGGCGTGGCCACGCTTGGCCCCGCCCTCAGACCCGCCCAACGTGACGTCACGACATCGCCCCGCCCGCCGCAGTACCCGGATGAAGCAGTTCCGCCGGCGGCGGGCGATGCTCCGGCTGTGACAGGGGATGCGCTCCGGTGAGGAGGGGCCGCGGCGGGGACTGGGGATAAGGGGGGGCCGCGGCGGTTAGCGGCCGGTCCGCTGGGGCAGTGGGCATTGAGCAGTGGGTGATAAGCGACGGGCATTGAGGGGCTGCGGCCCCGCGTTCTTCCACCCATTGGCTGCAAAGTGACAACGGGGCAGGTCCCGCCCTGCGGCGCATTCTATTGGTCAGCTACACGGCCCCTCCGCCTCTCATTGGCGGCCGCGCCTGCCCGTCTGTCGGCGGCCCTGCCTGGCCCCGCTCGCGCGGCCACCGCCCTGCGCGAGCCGCTGCCCCCCCCACCCCGGGCTCCTGAGGTAACGGCGCGCGGCCGGCGCCGGCTGTCCGTCTGCAGGAGGCCGCGGTCGGCACCAGGCGGGTGGGTGCGGTGCTCGGGCGAGGGGAGCGGGGCTGGGGGCCGCCCGACGGCTGCGTGCGGGGCTGGGGCGGGCGATGGGGGGGGCGGCGTTGGGCCCCGACGCGGATCCGCCGCCCCGCGGTGTCTCGGCGGTTTCGTCCCTCCCGGGGCCGCTGGTTGATTTCCCTGCCGGCCGCAGACGCAGCTCGTGTTCCTCCGTTCCGTTCTTCTCAGCCCCGGGGTTCGCGGTGCTGAGGGCTGGCACGGCCTGCAGCGCTGTCGGGTGTGTGACCCGGGGATGGGGGCTTCAGGCGGTGCCAATTAACGCCCGCCCTTAATGACGCTGGTTGCGAGGAGCTGCCACCCTGCTTCCCTCTCACGGCCGCGGCTTGGAGGTTTGCCGCTCTGGCAGAGATGCTGTTTGCTGCTGCCAGTGCCGGGTCTGTCCGTGCCTGGTATTTCCCAGCAGGTTCTGCCCATCTCCCCCTGTGCTCAGCAGGGCCTGCCTGGCTCTGTGCTGCCGTGACCCATCACAGCAGGCCCTGCCAGTTTGATGAGTTTGACCCCAATTGCGGCAGACGTGCGGTGAAGGATGAGCACACTGACACGAGGCACAGCTCCTGGAGCTGGACTTGCAGCTGGGTGACTTCCCATTAAGATCTCCTGCTGACGCAGATGGCTCTCCTCACCCACACAGCCCATTGTTCTCCACCCCTGCTCAGTGACTCAGGGCTGCTCAGCTCCTTCCGAAACTTGCTTGACTCAGTGAGGAGTGCACAGAGGGAATTTTTTTGTTTCGTGCCCAAGGAAGTGGGCCAGCAGGGACAGGGAGGTGATTGTCCCTCTCTGCTCTGCTCTTGTGAGGCCCCATCTGCAGTACCATGTCCAGGCCTGGAGTCCCCAGTACAAGAAAGACAGGGAGCTGTTGGAGAGGGTCCAGAGGAGAGCCACAGAGATGAGCAGGGGACTGGAACACCTCCCCTACGAGGACAGGCTGAGGGAGCTGGGCTTGTTCAGCCCGGAGAAGAGAAGGCTGCGGGGTGAGCTCATTGCAGCCTTCCAGTACCTAAAGGGAGCCTACAAACAGGAGGGGAGTCAACTCTTTGGAAGGGTAGATGACGGCAGGACAGGAGAAATGGTTCTAAGCTGAGGGACGGAAGATTTAGGTTGGATGTCAGGGGAAAGTTCTTTCCTATGAGAGTGGTGAGGTGCTGGAACAGCTGCCCAGAGAGGCTGTGGATGCCCTGTCCATCCCTGGAGGTGTTCAAGGCCAGGTTGGATGTGGCCCTGGGCAGCCTGGCTGGTATGAAATGTGGGGGTTGGTGGCCCTGCCTGCGGTGGAGGGTTTGAACTCCATGATCCTTGAGGTCCCTTCCAACTCTGGTGATTCTGTGAAGTCGTTAACTGAGTGAAACAGCAGTGGAAATGCTCTTTGGATATTTAAGCCAATTTCTTTTTGCATGAAAAATTCCAGGACCTTGTGGTTGCTAGGTGGCCTTGTCAAAGTCGATTTTTGCTTAGAAATGTATTAGCATCTGTATTAGTAAGAAATATAGAAAGCTGTTATATTTATTTGTTTATATTTAAACTTGATGCATCAGCAGTGCATCAGACAGTGCACAGACATGCTGGCTGGCAGTGCCAGCTAACTGTGAGAGGTGTGGGTTAAGTGGTGTGGTTGTCTGTTTTGGTTTGTTCTTTAAATTATTAATCTTGGGTCTGCCTTGGAAGAGCTCCTCTGTCCTGCTCACACACCTCAGCCTCGCTGGGCTGTGGTCAAGCTGCAGAACAGAGCCCAGATGCTCCCCTCTCGGTGCAAAGTTGTTCTGCACGGTGTTGAGAGGTGAAGGTATGTATTGAGAGGAAGATGTCACTTCATGTCCTCCTCCCTTTTGGGGGTAAAACCTTCCTGTGAGCGTGTGGAGGCTGTGGGTGTGTGAGGTAATCCTTCAGTTGTAGGAAAAAGGGGTAAAGAAAAAAAAAATATGGAAGAGAATCAAGGCTGCTGGTGGCTTTGACCTTGGTGCACAAGGAGCGTTGTCACCAGAGGGGTGTCTGGGATGTGACTGCCAAAAGCATGGAAACAAAGTACTTCTTTGGTCTGTTAGTATGAACTTTCATCTTGTGACTTGCGTGCTGAAGGGACCTAAGGCCCTCTGCCTGGCTGCCCTGTGACTCATGGGTGGTGGGTGTTCTTACAAAAGGTTTTCCCCTCCCTGGTACTACTCAATTTGAGGTGATTTAAAGGCAGTTCACGGATCTGAGGAGAAATCTGCATTAAGTGCTTTTCTTTCTAAGTCACTTGTCATTGTGCAGCGTCCAGAAGCATCATAGCCCTCTGGCCACTGCCTTCCCAAGGAATTTTTTCATTGGGATGGTATTAATTACTGAGAAAATGTGGAGGCTCCGGGGACCTGCGTGCTGTCTTTTGTCACAGCCTCTTTGCTATGCTTGTCATAAGCTCTCAGATGAAGTCATTGCTCCCGGGAAGGTCGTGCTGCGGTGTTTCAGGGCTTTAAGAGAAGGGCAGCAAGGATTTGAGGTGGATAGCTGGGAGGGGCACAGCACGTGGGGCTTTGCAGGTGGTCCCGGATCCTGGCATGTACCCATGGGCAGGGACCTCCCCTCCATCTCTGCAGGTGCTGGTCCTTGTGCCAACCTCTTCAGGTCTTCGAGGATGCTTTAGTGGCGTTGCCTAGGAACAAACAGAGATCTGATCGTGTTGTTTGTGAAAGAAAGAAATGATTTTAGTGCTGAACTCTGATGCCTTTGCTAGTTGGTGTGTGCATGTGGTTGGTTGGGTTTTGCCCCCCGTCAGATACCTTAGTTGCTAGGTATGCAAGTCTAGGCCACATGGTACAAAGAATACCTGTTATATGAGGTTAGTAAGGCAGATTCCACAGGAGACTGTTGAGATAAGGCTGAGCTGTTTGCTCTCGGCTTGTTTTAAAGGCTTTTAGCCTGAACCTGGCACAGAGTTCCTGCAGGTGAGGGTTTGCTTACCTTCTGCCTGCTGCACTTTCCACATGGGAAGAGCAGCATTTATTATTATGGATAGTGCTGATGCTGTGTGTTCTGAGACTATTTTTTTCCTGAAAGCTCATATGCTGCTGTTGTAAGAGGCAAGGAGTCATTTGTTGTGGTTCACCAGAGAACATTCAGTTCAAAAATAGTATTGCAGGAAAAGACAGAGGTTCACTTTCCGAAGCAGTGATGGAAGCAGGCAGCCTTCCAAAACGCGCATGAAAATGCCTCTGGCTCCTATTTCAGGATGAGAAAAACAAGAGCAGGTTGATTGGAGAAATCTAATCTGTGGCTTCTGATTGTTTGTTTGCTTTTGATTGTTTGCTTTCCCTTTGCTAATAAGTGAAAGACAATGCAAATGTGCTCAGATTCACAACCATGCTTTGAATCTTTGATTTAAAAAAAAAAACAACAAAAAAAAAACAATACAATTTATTTTAATGGGCTTGGGGGTTACCTGTCAGATCTTGTGGGTTGGGGAGGTGAGGAATGGTAGAAACAGGTTTTCTTCAGGCTTTTGTCTGTGAAAGGGTGTAAAACGGGCAGAAGCAAATAATGTGGGTTTGGATAGCCTCGTGCTGGCTCTGCATCCTGCTCTGCATCACAGCTCGGGGTGATGGCAGCGTCCTGGGGCAGTGTCATTCCCTGTGGCACAGGGAGGACTGCAGCTATGATGTGGCACTTCCCTATTTTGGGGACTGTGACAGCCAGCATGAGTTGTTATATTGAGAACTGAAGGCCAGATGTGACTTTGGCAGGGTCTCTTTATCAGGTCCTATTGCAGGCAGTTATTTGGTTATTCCAAAGGTCAGCTGACATTTGTATTACCTCTGGTGGTCAGCAAAACACTCTGGCTGTGGGAGTGCCAGCACTGTGACTCATCACATTTGAGTAGCAATACTTTGCCTCTTTTCTTAGTTCTTCATCTTTGCTTCCTGAAAATATTGGGCAGTCGCAGCTGCATATGAGCAATGTTCAGGATCACTTTGGATGCAATGGTTTTGGAGGTGCTTCTGTAGCTCCTGATGTGTCACTCCGTGGAGCTGGCTTTTGGGAATGGAGCAGGATGGGTTCTGAGCTGTGGGAGGGCTGGCTAGGAGTCTGAGCTTCTAAGCATCGTGTTGTGTTTCAGGCTTACTGTTTCAGTGGGACATTTGATCCAAGCCATCACCCAGCCTCCAGTCACATGGGGAGCCACGGGAGCTTTTTTTAAGGTTATCTGTTATGCTTCCTGCTTGTGTTTTATGGCTCAGCTGAGAGCTGGCTCCATGAAAATAACAGTTCGGCCTTGGGTGCGAGGTTTGTTGATGCACTCGAGGGGAATGCTGCTTACCTGTTAGTTTAGTCACTTCTGCTGTGTGTTGGATTCAGACTTCAAGTCTGTTAGTATCAGGAAAGTACTGAGTGACCCACGTGCAAGGATACTTTGGGGAGTGGGAAGCCAGACTATGGTGTTGTGCACAACTAGATAAGTAAGCAAATAAGAATACCAAAACACGATTTAGTGAAGTTTGTAACCTACAAGCTCCAGTTTTTTAAAGCAATCACGGTGTGGAAAAGCTGTTCCATTTTTAAGTGTGAGTTGCTCTGTCCCACTGTGTAATGGGGGGCTTGAAAGGAGCCATCGCATTCTGAACATAGCTCTTGTTGTAGAGCTGCTTGAATCTGGAGTTCTGCCCGTGTAACTGAGTTTTCCCAGGGTGCTGCGTGAATGCTAAGCTGTGTTGTAATGAATTCCAAGTGGGCATCGGCATGAGCCTGCTCTCATTTTCCCTGGAAGACGCTGCTGCATTATCTTGTCTGTTCCTGAAAGCCCCAGTGTTGTCTGTCAAAGGCCTGATTCTGCAAGTGCCACGTATGCAGAGGAGCTCCTGAATGGGAAGGGCTTGTGCTGGGCTCAGCTCTCACACAATGCCTGCAGCCAACAGTGTGCTACAGCACAGTGCTTTGTGTCCAACTCCTGGCATCCCGTGGGCATCCACTGTCCCACGCGTCAGATGTTCAGAGTTGTGTGTTAGATTCTGTTAATGCTGTGGAGCTGCTTTTTGCTGAGCATGTACCTGCGTTTGGATAGGTCTGGTTTTCTGCACTGTGAGTGGGGGGAATGGGCAAAGGCTGGCAAAAGGGAAAGGTGCAGGTTGGGAGCTGTCTGTGTCTCCTCTCAAAGTAATATTATGGCTCAGAGCCACTGTGTATAGTGTGAGTGTGCTCTCATCTTTCTCTTGTCCCCCAGGCATGGGGGAGAAATGATAAAAATTTGTTTGCACAAATGCTTAGCTAGAATGTTGGCACAAGCATCTGATGGGGGTGTTTCTGTAGTGCAGTTAATGGATGAAAACCCAGTGCTGGCAGCATTAGGTATAATGGAAAACATGGAGTGTGGGGAGCTGTGAGCTGTTGCTGCATAACGAGATGGACAAGGCTGGGGACTGCCTGTGGCAGGTCAGCTCCATCCCACCGGGAGACCTGGGGGCTGCTTTGGAGGAAGAGTGGTGGCTGCTGCTTGCTGGGCTCATTGGGTGTTGGTTCCAAGGGTGTGCCTTGTGCAAGCAGACAGGAAGGAGTCTTGGACCCAGACACACGTTATCGTGGCTGCTTCTAGGAAATGATGTAAGGTACTTCCTCGTACTGACTTTTCTCTGAATTCAACTGATGGGTGGTTCCCTGGTTGTTTACCTTTAGACACAGCTGTGGGAGCTGACCCTGTTCAATGATAGGCTTCATTTAATGAGGGGAAAATGTGCTTCTGGCTGACCTGAGAGTGCCAGCTGAAAGCCAAGAGACTGATGACTTCTGCTGAAGTGGTTTCAGTGTGATTGGTGTGGGACTGATGTTATGGACACACACAGCAGTAACCAACTGCTCACCTCTTCCTCAACCCACAGATCTGCATAGCAGTTTAGGAGCTGGCTGAGCCACAGCAGATATCTGCCTGCCTTAATGCATCAGCCTGTGAGACGGTGGCAGCTCAGGAGGTGATTCATGGGCTCTGCATCCACTATAAACACAGGACTTGATTTGTTCCTGGTTGTCATTAAACTGCCTTAGTAACAGGTGCAATAACTGAAGCACATACACTCAAAGTAACTTTCATCTAATGAGGCACAGCAAGACTTGAAAATACATGTGCTGGGAGGAATGGTAGTGCCTCCTATGTTTTATTCTCTCAGTTCAGGGCTGTGTTGGAAAGGAAGCATGGTCAGTTGGCTCAGGCAGCATGAAGACCTGGTTCATGGCAGACTGCTGCTGCAGCACAGCTGTGAGTTAAGTAAACACAGGGAGAGAGTTGAGGTTTTTTGGACGTACTGAGCACCCTGTGGGTAAGGTTGGTTTCATGCCCTGCATTATGGCAGCTGCAGAACAGTGTGCCAGTTCAGCTTTGCCTTCAGGATGAGCCAAACACCAGCCTCTGGGATGGGCTGCTGTGCCCTTTGCCCTCTGCCATTGTTTTGTCCCACTTCTGGGTGTCTCAACATGTGGGTCACTGAGATGCAGGACATGTCATTGTGACACTTTCAGGCCTGGAGGGAAAGTATCAGCTATTGATGACTGTCAGTATGCGAAAGTCAGGACTTGTAGGTCAGCTGCAGTGATTAATCTGCTGTGATGAGCTTGGTACAAACATTGTTTAAAGCCTCTGCAATAGCAGTTAGTTTCAGCTTATTCTTTTCTGGAGATTTATGATCTATTTTAAGTTTTGTTTTTTGGAGAGGAAAAAAAAATGGCTGCCTGCGAGCAAGAAGGTTGGTGGGAGCTTGGAAATGCACAGTGCTGTCTGGGGCTAGGAGCTGGGCCTGGCTGAGCTCATCCCTGGGTACTGCAAGTCCAGCACCACTGCTTCGTTCTCATCGTCATCTTCAGCAGTGTCTGAGGTCTGGTGTGTGGGGAGCTCTCGTGTGCAGTCATAGTAAACAGTGTTGCAGTGTGCACTGTAGGAAAAACCTTTTACAAATCAAAGTGGAAACTGTGATAGCTGTAAATTCGTACAATGGTGGTCCTAAATGAGCCAGTGGCATTAACTGCTGCTTTAGTGGTTGGCAAAGGATACAGCCCAAATTTCTGGTTTTGTTTCAGGCTGCTGCATGAATGTTTCCAGAGGTTGGAGAGCATGATGTTACTTGTTGCAGCTGGTCTTTGCTCAGAGGTGGCTGTTAGGAATCATTAACACTCTGCAGGCCAGTCTCAAGTCTGTTTGCCCCTGACAGGCCAAAGCACTGAAGTACAGCAGCACTGGGGGGGTTGCTCTGCCTGCCTCATCATACTAAAAGTGTTTTCTTATGTCTGGATCCTACAGGTCATATTGAACATGGACAGTGAGGAAATTCCAAACTTCTCAAGTCCAAAGGAGGAAACTGCCTATTGGAAAGAGCTTTCTTTGAAGTACAAACAAAGGTACTATTGTATATTTTCAGAGTGAATTTGGTTCTTGGTGACTGAGGATGTGGCTTAATCTATTTCTCTATGAGACTTTACCAAAAGATATTAAAATGACTCTCTGCGTTTCCAGCTTTAGGTGTAGTTTTTAGATCCAGCCTTGTGGAGGCTGAGTGTTTCGTTCCCAGTGTTACCATGCCATGAACTCAAGACTGAGCACGTTAGAGCAAGAGAAGAGCCCTTTTATGATCATGTGCATCTTTGTATAATTAAAATGCTGTCTTAAGTAGTAGCTTGATGTTTTGCAGTAAGAAGACTGCTTGTGGGCTTGCCTGGCATCATTACTGTTCCCTTGGGCTTCTTGCACTCAGTCTGAGAAGTTTCTGATTTGGTAACTGGCTGCAGTATATTGAAGTGTGTTCATTATACCTCACAGTCCTGCCTGTGTTTGTCTCTGCTATCTTTTTAGGGGAGCAGAAGGCTTTTTGGTTACAAGAAGTGGCAAGAGAGCTTATTGTCTGGAGTGCTGCTTGTGGTTTGGGGTGGTTGTTGGTTTTTTTTTTGTTGTTGTTGATTTGTTGTGGGGGAAGGGGAGTCAGCATTGGAGGTTTCCAGCTCATTCCCTTTGGAAAGCTTTTCTTGCACTCCATGTTACTAGAGAGCAATAGGAGCAAAGCCAAGCCCAAGAAGCCCAATGTGCAAGCTGTTTTTTTTTGTTTGGGTCTGTTTTCTGGGTGTAGGGGGCAGGGTGTGGGCATTTGAGATCCCTGAGCTGTATGTAGAAAGTATGTCAGAAAGGTCTCTCTCTGATGCCAATCAATATGTAGTTTCCTAAAGCCTAGTCAGTTTTCTCTGCTGGTTGCAAAGAGCTGAGCTATTACATATGGTAAAGATGAAAATGTAATTAGTGAAGTATGTGGTGTTGCTGCTACAAGTAATTTAATACCTTGCAGTGGTATAAGGTGGGTCAGTGCTGGCTTCCTACCAAAGCACTTAGGAGCCCTGAGATTCAAACATTAATGCTTTCCAGCAGACTTACATTTCCAGGTAGTGCTGAGATGCAGTGACTATTGTTCTGTGCTGGTTTTTGCCGAAAGCAGGTTAAAAGCTTTATGTAGTGACTCTCTCAAGTCTGCTGGAGTGAAGGCTAGTGGGGTACAGAGTGTCAGACTAGCAGGAATCCTGGAAATAGCCTTGCTATAGGCTGTATGTCCATATGCATTTAATAGAGTTATTTGATATAAAGGGGGTGAATTTCCATTTGTAGGTAAACAATGCAATTTCTCTATTTTCCCTGTAGAGGTCTATGGTTAAGTACTGTAAAACTCTTGTTGCCTTTTCATCTAAAGAGCAGTGAACTTTGTGCTTGAGAGATGCTGCATTTTGAACTGATGAAATCTCCTTACAGCTTCCAGGAAGCTCGTGAAGAGCTGGCTGAATTTCAGGAGGGAAGCAGAGAATTAGAAGCTGAGTTGGAAGCACAGCTAGTGCAGGCTGAGCAGAGGAATAGAGATTTACAAGCAGATAACCAAAGGCTGAAATATGAAGTGGAAACATTAAAGGTAGGTCTCATCTGTAATGACATTGCTTCTTCCTTGAAATATGTCTTGGGTATAGTTTCAGGCTGTCTGTTCTGTTCTTGGTCATTGGATATCTAAATGAAGTAAAGAAATCATCTGCTTAAGATCTAGTCTTGAGCATGGCACGTACTCCAAATAAGGCCAGCAGCATACCAGAGAAATTTCTCAAGGACTTTTTCTTGTTCACATCATTAAACACTTGTCATTGAGTTTGTGCTCGTTTGAATTCTTCAGCCTCATCAAGTGGTGGCTTTGTTATGTACACAGGCAACATCAGCATAGCAACAGGGAGAACAACACAAGTATGTTTTGTCAGACCATGATATTGTCGACTTTCTGTACATTTTTTTTGGTTTTTTTTCCCCCAGAATTTCTCCTTCGTCTTTTGAGACCCTGCTGAAATGTGAAAAAGGGTGATTTGTGCACATCTTTCAGGGGGATTCTCCTAATTTTTTCTTAATAGCTGTATCTGTGGAGGCAGGGATTGCATAAGCGTGTGTGTGTACAGAAGGTGAATTTTAGTTAATATCTGTCCATGAAGAAGTTCTTGCCTCTTTTGGGGTCGTGAAAAGTACTTGTTCTGGTGATCTTGAATTATTTTAAGAAAGCAAGGGTTGGGATCTTACCCAGTAACAATGATGTTTTGAGGATTACTTGTTCACATAGCCAGTCCCAGTCCTGTCTGTAAGGCTGGTAGCTATTCTTTTGAGGTCGGTAGTTCCATAAGCCCCTATTATTAGAGCAGGTAAGAGCATGTTCTGGAATTAATCTTCCAGTCTTTCAAAGAATAAGTTTGTGGATCTGGAGGTGTTCAGTAACAGATTTCAGTGGCTCTGATTTTCAGTAATGGAGATGTCAGATGAGTTCTTGTGACAGTGTGGCTATTGTAAAGGGAGAGAGGCACTGAAGGGGAGCCTGTGAGTTTGATTTCTCTCTGGTTTTCTAGATGTTTGAGGCTTTAGAGCAGCTGTGAGTGCAGGGTTGCATTTCTGAACATCCAGCTGTGTCATTATGAGTAGTCAGTGCACAGGACAGTGTGTGTAATTGTATCCTTTGTTCCTTTCTGATGTTCTGAGTACATTCCCTCTACCTTTACAGTTTTTGCTGTGCAATCCCAGATCTGCAGACTGCAGCTAGCATGTTGCTTTGTCCCATTTGACCACTGAGTGGATGCTACTGATACTTATCTCTCCACATCTCTTTCTTTCAGGAGAAACTGGAGCACCAGTATGCACAAAGCTACAAGCAAGTGTCATTGTTAGAGGATGACCTGAGCCAGACACGGGCCATTAAAGATCAGCTTCATAAGTATGTCAGGGAGCTGGAGCAGGCCAATGATGACTTGGAACGTGCAAAGAGGTGAAGACTGCAAAACTCTTATTTCCTTAAATATTCACTAGAGCTTGTCTGTGTTATTCAGATTCATCATTTTATTATTCCTTTAAATGGGGGGGTGAGGGGAGGAGAACAGAAATGCACATGTAAAAAAATAATTTTAAAAAATAATTTAAAAAAATCCTAAGTTACTTGATTCTTTGTGAAATGCAACTTACCCTTGGAGTTCACCTCCATCAGTTGGTAGTGTTGCATTATGGAAGAAAAGCTTGTGGGGGGACCTGAGGTGCTTTCTGTTCTTGTGAGAAATGAGCTGTGCAAGCGAGGTCAGTGCTCTAGTTTTAATACTGCCAGCCCAGTGACTCTTATATTTGTGATCCTTGTAGCTCAAAGCCCCTTTGAAGTAGGAAGCTAGTGCTTTACTTGGTTCCTTTTGAATTAAACACGCCAAAGGAGTCTCCTCTTTCCTTGCATAACAGCTTAATGACTGTGGGGAGCAAATGTGGTCTGTGTAAGTGCAGAAAATGAACAGGCTGCTGCAAGAAACGCCCATTTTTGGAGTAGATCATGCGTCCGTTCTGCTGAATGGGAATTTTGCCATTGATTCAGTGGGACCAGGAATGAGCCCTTGGCTATTTGGCAGTAAGATCTAAGAGCTGAGGCCTTGTTTCCACCGGGCTCTTAACCTCATGACTAACTTTTGACACACATAAGTTGTCTCACTGATATCATGGAACAAATATCCCAGTGCCCTTCCTTCTGTGCTCTGTGGACTGTTGCCTGTTTCTGCAGAGCTGATACACAAAATACATGACTTTGGAGAATGACTTGGGAAAAATGGAGCTAGGTGCACCAGACTGGCTCTGTCCCAGCTCTTTGGTACATCTTGGAGAGCTAGATGCTATCATGTTCTTTTCATCTCACTCCCTTCTTTGGAGTTCTAGTCCTTTCTAAGAATCATTTTCATAGCTTTCAAGTAACTAACTTGAATGTAGATCCTGCTAACATTTTTCCTTTATTATGTATTTGAATAAGCTTAAAAGTTAGCTGAGCTGAAGAACCTAATATTCTGGATTTTGTTTCTAGGGCAACAATAGTTTCATTGGAAGACTTTGAACAAAGGCTGAACCAGGCGATTGAGAGAAACGCGTTTTTAGAAAGTGAACTGGATGACAAGGAGTCACTGCTAGTTTCTGTACAGAGATTAAAGGATGAAGCCAGAGGTATGGCTTGGTTGATTAGTTCTGTCTTTGTACATTGATGGCTTACTAACAGAGACATGAAGCAACCAAAGCTCATGTTTATAAAAAGCCTCACTTAATGAGATTGAAACTGGATGTATAATATAAGCGTTGGAATTTACCTGCTAATAAACAGTATGCTCTCTGTTCTTCATATGTCCACTGAATCTAAGAGGAAAAAATTCCTCATGTTGGGTAAAATTAGTGTCAGATTCTTTCAGGGTTTTTAACCAAGCTGAGTAGAAAAATACTGCTTTCCACAGATTTAGTAGAGCTGAAAACTGTGTTCCAAAAGTTCCCTCTCTGTGGCTTTGTGCCACAAAGCACACAGAAAGTATGGGAAATGACAGGGAGATGCATGCCAAAATGGTAAATAACTATCTTTAAAAATGCTGCTTGCTGTTACCTTCTAAACCTGTTGGAAGTTGCCTGGCTTCTTTAAAATATGCCAGTAGAGACTATGGTTAGAGCTGTGGCATCAGAGATGCTTCAGATAATCCTCAGAGCCGACGATTCATGTTGAGGATTCATCCCTGAGAGGTTTCATGTTGAGGACATGGGGGAAACTTTATTTTTATTGGTTTTATTGGTTATTTAGTGGTTGAGGAACATGACTTCTCTGACAGAGCAGTGTGCTTGTTAACATGCCATCACTGCAGGTTAGAAATCAGTGTTTTCAGCATTCTTTCCAAACTATTTATTTGGAAACAGTTCCTCAGTGAAGGCAAGGACCTAAAAAGAACCTTTTTAGGCTGTGCCTGAAAAGCAAACAAAAGAAAATTTTTTTAAAAAAACAACCATGAATGTATTAATTATTTGCCTCCAGGTTCTTTTAGAGACTTTACAGATCCATTGCTGAATTGTGCTGGAGGTTCTTTATAGCAAATCTGTGTGGAAATAAGAGGCAGCAAGGTAGTGATACAGAGCAGACCAGATAGTGGGAATAAAACTCTGGTTTCCTAATTTCCCTTCTCTTTCCCTATCATTTGGGCTATGGACTTCTTTAGTCTGCTTGTTCTCATCTTGATGAATCAAGAAACAGCAGACATGGTCCCTTCACAATATCTGGCTAGTGTGCAGTCCTACAGATTATTAAACTGGAAGGGCAGTGTTGGGAATTAGAAACATGAGATCAGGTCATTAATCTGTTTCCCTGCCTCCCAGCTGAATGCAGTTAGCAGGCATTTGTGACAGGCTGCATTTTTCTGCAACACACTTTCCATGGAACTCGAACTACAAGTGGGGAGGAATGCTGAGGCCAGATCACCTGGCCTTGCTCTCTGGGTGCACACAGCTCTCTGGGCAAGCAGAATGTGGCTGCCTTTCCATCCAGCAGTGATGGTATTGAGCTATGCCTTATTTGAGATGGAGGTCTTTGCTGCTGGAGGGATACAGAAACAGTGAATCACTGATTATTGCAGAGTATTCTCTTCTAAATAAATGAACAGAATGCTGGAGAAATCTGTCACTAATATGATGTGTTTTGTCTGGCATGCTCAGACCTGCGGCAGGAGCTGGCAGTACGGGAAAGGCAGCAGGAAGTCACCCGCAAGTCTGCGCCCAGCTCTCCAACTCTAGACTGTGAAAAGATGGATTCAGCTGTCCAGGCATCTCTCTCCTTGCCAGCTACACCTGTAGGAAAAGGATCTGAAAATAGTTTTCCTTCCCCAAAAGGTATAATTCCTGGAAACTGCCTGGCTGGTTGGGAGTACGTTCTGCTTCTCAAAAAATAACTTCAGACAAGGTCCTTGTTAGCAGACTTGGAGTAAATACAAATACATGTGGATCCCTACATAACGTGTGCTGAAATACCGGAGCAGTGTCAGACTATTTAATGAGTGTTATTAGTTAATACTATGGAAGAGAGAGAGCGAAGCTTAGCTACTGCTTTGCAGGAGTGAGGATCACATTCTGCAGTAGATGACTGCAGTAGAATATATTTGGGGTTGCAGAGAAATGCAGTGACTAATATTTCAGCTGAAGTTCACTGGTGAGTAAATAGTGGGTAGCAGTGCTGACAGTCTGGACTGTCTTTGTTACCATGTGCTTTTGGGGGTGCTATTCTCTCAGGAAGCAGTGGGTTATTAGCTTAGTCCTCTTCCCATCTGGAAGGCTCAGGTCAATCACAAGGATTAAAACATTTATTTATTTATTTTAAATTAAAGTAGATTCCAGAGAAAGCTCTGGCTGGATTAGATAGATTGCAGGCAGTAGCTATGCAGATGGAGAGTGCATGAACTCTGAGTGTGTATATCTAATGGAGAGGAGGGGAGTGGGCAGGAATTAAGCTTTTTCTTCTCTCTGTGACTAGTGATTGTGTAACCTGTGTTACTGTTTGTACAAAGAGTCTGCTGTAAGATTTAGATTTACTTCCTTATTAGAAATTACTTAAAAAAAAAAAATTAAAAACTAAATACTGGAGGAGTACACATATATAATAAAGTGTGTTTGTTTGCAGCTATACCAAATGGATTTGGTACAAGCCCTCTTACTCCTTCAGCTAGAATATCTGCACTCAACATCGTGGGAGATCTCTTACGGAAAGTGGGGGTGAGTGCTCTGTACTGAACTGTCCCCAGTTCTGTACCTTCACTGAGAGTTCATCCATGTATGGGGTGAAAAGGCCTTGGCTCATGCTGAATTAGTGCTGGAGTTTCTAAGGTGTCTCTCTTAAATTGTTCACATTTAATGTTTGGGATGTGATAACACTTGTTTTGTAATTATCTTAATTTATGGAGCGGGTTGCTAAGGCTCTGATGCCAACTTTTAGAGAAAATCCATTTTTGGAAGGCTTTCTTGGTGCACGGAGGCTGGGCATTAGCAGATACTTGTTCATGTTTCATATGAAAGCAGGACTCAGCTGAACCTCAGCCTTAGTACCCATTGCACAATTGTGTTCTGTCATGGAAGGTGAGCTGATAGACCATTGGAGTCTCTGAGGAGGTCTGCAGAAGTTACTGAGAACTTAAATGAATTGTTTATAAAAAATAACCCTTTGGTAAGAAAGTGAAAAAATAAAACAGGAGAAAGCCAAGTGTTCCCATCTGTAATTGATTGGGAAGTGAAATGTGTGAGCCTCTAAAGGGATTACAACTGTGAGCAGGAAAGAAGTGGTTTTGACATCTGTTGTGGTGTTGCTTAGGATGCCAAGCTTTCCAGCTGAATGAAGACATGACTTCTGAGTGGTGAGAAGCTTGTTTACTTGCCTCCTTGGGTAGTGTTTCGAGTGGAAGCATGGGCAGCCTTGGTGTCTAGCCTCCAGGGCTGGCGTTCCTCTATCCCTTGTGGTTTCACTAAGGACAGAAATAGCTGACGTGAATATGGTTGTTTTAGCCAAATTTGACATTAAAAATCAGATCACTGCTTGTATTTAGAGCTTGTGAGCTCATCAAGCCTAGGTTGAAAGGGCAGCAGGACGGCTCGGGGTTACAGAGTGGCATGTTTAAAATGGGATCATTGTGAGTAAGAGTCTGTAGGGGATTTAGGGAGCTTAATGACATCCCATGTGATTACTCTGCGAGGACAGGAAATGCCAAATAAGCATGCTTCTTTCCCAGCCTGTTCTTAAACACACACAGCCAGTGATACAAAATTCCAGCTCATGCATTTATTTAGTAATAATTATAGGATGTGCAGGATTTCTGTGGGTTGGCTTACCTATTAGATGCCTCATCCTGTGCCTTGGGCTCCCTTTCTCTCCAAGATATTCCCCTCAGCTTTCGTGCTGGCATGTGAAACAGCACAGCTCACGCTACTGGAGAGAATCAGGGTTTTGGTGTCCTCTCTGCTAGGAGTCAGTGGATGAGGCAAGTCTGCTACCTTGTATAGGAGAAAAAGAACTTGTCAGACTTGCTTGGATGTAGTAGAGATGAGGTAGAAACCCTGGAGATAGGCTTAGCTGCCTTTGTGTCCTCTTATGGGAGGTCTGTAGCACCTCTTCTGAAGCTTAGCAGGGAGGATGAAGAAACTGGATAAGTTTTGCAGGCAGTGATTAAGAAAGAAATAGCAGACACTTTCCTGGGGAAAAATGCAACTTTACAAATACACTGTGCCTCCTGAAATTGGAGGATTGTGCCTTTGGTTCCCCTTGAGTTTTTTGGTCAGCTTACACCAGCATCACTGTAACTCTGGAACAGGAGTTTCAGTTACTACTTCCAGCATCTGATTTTCCTGCTTCAAGTACCTAAATGAGAGTTGATTTCTTGTAAAGTCCTTACTCTAATGGAAGAGGATTGACCTGGCAGTCTGCATCAGCATCTCATTATGTGGTTCTCATTTGAGAAAACAGCAGCTTTGTTCCCATTTAGCTCAGCTTTTGCCAAAAATGATCACACTGGGGTTCTGACTGTAGTGATCTCTGATCGTGCTAAAGCATGAACTTGAGCAGCAAAATATTTTCTCTAAAAAAAAAAAAAAATAATAATTCCCTCTTCTCCCTCCCCCACCTCTCTTTTCCTTTCACAGGCCTTAGAATCCAAGTTAGCTGCTTGCAGAAATTTTGCAAAGGACCAGGCATCACGGAAATCCTACATTTCAGGGAATGCTAACAGCAGCATGATGAACAGCAACGGCACGAAGTATCCTCATCCAGGGCATACTTCTTTCTTTGACAAAGGGTAAGTCAGGATGTATTTGTACACTGAGGGGGGTGGGAGGGTGTTTCAGGATGCTGTGTGAAACAGAAGTTTTCCTTGGCTTGTTTATAGCTTTTGTCCAGTAAGACAAATTTGTGGAGCCAGGTTCTCAAGGGGACAAAGAAGCAGCGTTCCACTGCAGGCTTCTGTAAAGCAAAGAGAAAAGCAAGTGCTTGACCTCTCAGCTGGTGGGATGTCTTTGCCTGTGCTGCCCCTCTGCTGCCTCAGCTCTTGGTGGCTGCATAAACCTTCTGGTGCGGTGATTGTGCCCTTCAGAAGGATCTCAAGCAGACGGTGGTGGGGCTGCCATAGCTGTTAGCGTGCTTGTGTGCGGGGAGTGCCTGAGCTGCTGAGCTGGAGGTTACCTTAGTAAGAGCAGTAAGTGTGGGCAGCACTGCTTCCTTGGAGAGTGGTTCCCTCTTTGTTCTACTCCTCCCTGCTATCAGTGAAAAAGAAAATATTACTAACTGTGTAATCCTTGCTGATAGAAGGGGCAGCTGTACTGTCCTGTTGTGTGTCAGCCATAATGTTTGAGGCAGTATTTGCAGTAAAAATCACCCTGTGACTTGCTCATAGTTGCAGCTTCCTCACTGATATGGGGAAGTGGTTCAGCAGGAGGATTTTCCCACAGTAGCTCAGGGCCCTGCGGTTGTTTGAGCAGCCCTGAAGAGCAGGGTACACAGCCAAGCTCTCCTTCAGCATTACCCAGAAATAGGGAAACCTGTGCTAAGTGGCACTGTGCAAAACACCTTCTGTGCTCTCTGCTGGTGATAGTCTTCCCTATTAGACTTCAAGCTAGAGCAGTTTTAATGTTGTTATTCAGCAGATCCTCAAAACAGCATTTATTTAGAGCTTTAAACAACTTAGAGTGCCACATAGAGAGCAGACAGGCTGGGTTTCTGGAATCCTCCTTGTGTGAGCTGAATCATGTTGCTATGTGGGTAGCAGGGCATGTTGCATCTTAGAAACTGGCAAGAAGAGCTTTCAGAGCTACTGTTGTTTCTTGCTTTTGGAAAGGGAGCGTTCACATACTTAGCAAGGTCAGCATCACGTGCAAAAGGGACAGACTGTGAGGTTGGCTGCATACTGGGAGGCTGACCAGGGTCTGTGCATCACCACAGCAATGGTGGTGGCAACGTGGGCTCCATTGCATGTGCAGGCTGTCAAAGCAGTGCTGGGGAGAGATTAGAAGTGTTCTTAGGAGGCAGCATGGATAAAGTGAATTGTGGTATGGTAATAAGCTGATTGCTGTGTGGGATGGGAGTCGCTTCTAATTACCTAGATTGTCATCACTCTTGTTATCTGGGCTGGCTGCCTGCAGTTCAGGGCAGGCTGTAGCTGAAAAAGGCTTAGAAATGTGTCCCTTTGATAGTGAACTTCCTCAGCAGACTTGAAAGATGTTAACAGACTGGGAAAGTGATGGAAGTGACTAACTTACCTGCATGTTGTTAGAGATCCTTACCAGGGCCCCTCTGTCCCATCCCTCCTCTCTAAACACAGATGTGCTGCAGGCAGTGGGATCAGCAGCTCACACCTTACAGCTGCCCTGCTCTGCCTTCCTCATGGCCCAAGGCTGGGTGCAGTGCTGTGCTGCACGCACATCTCCACAGCTGCCATGTAACCCTGCCTTGCTGTGTGTGTGAGGGCAGAGCAGAGCCCTCCCACCAGCGAGCTGTGTGCATCACAGCGGTTGGCTGAGCCGAGGTGTGCCCTTTCTTCTCCCCTCTTCTCCTTTCTCTCCAGCCCCTGTACTCTCTTCCCTGCCCCAAACTGTCGCTGGAGCCTGAAACAGCCACACGCGCTCGCAGACCCGGTCCAATCTGCAGCCGCTGCCTTATGAACAGCCAGTTGTTGGGTGGTGGGATTGTGCCAGAGGTAATCCAGCCATGTCATTACGGTTCCATTTGCTTTCCTTTCTCTGCCTTTTTGTTGCTAAAAGTGTTTGAGCCTCCGTCTCTCATCAAACACCTGCTCTGTGCTTGCTGAGCAGAGCTAGGCGGGCAGCTGAAGAAGGTGTGGGAGCCAGGATAGGAGCAGATAGCTCAGAATGGTTTGATGGGAGGTGTGGAGAACAGATGGGCTTGCATGTGAGCTTTGCAGAAGAATTGGAGGAGTCAGGAATTAACTGCTTTGTTGGGTTTTGTTTTTATTTTATGCTCTACCAAGTCTGGTATAAGATCATTTTCCTACGGACTGGTTCCTTTAGGAAGGTGGTGGCTCTGTGTACACCCAAGGCCTAGCAGAACTGCACCTGAGGGGTGTTCTCTGATGGAAACTTGTTCCTTTGCAGTTATGATTGTTGTTAGCTTTTAGGGACTTTGATCCTTTGGGGGAATAAAATGGCTCTGACCTTGATGGGTGCCGTGGAGGCACTACGACAGCTGAGCTGGGACCACAGCGAGCCAAGATGAGGTGTTTGTTCCTTGGGGCACGACCTCCTTGCACACAACTCCCTTACTCCACTTCCTGCTTTCTTGAACATCAGAGTCATTGCAGTTGTTGTTTATTCTGAGGCAATTTCTGTGAATCTGCTGGGCTGTGTTTAAATGTGAGAAATGCCTCTGCTTGCACACTGCTGGTAGTCCCACCGTGCGTGTAGCTGTAGTGGCAGTCATTGCACCTAGGATCCCTGTCTGCCCTGCAGAGCATCCTTGTGCAGAGCTCAGGGAACAGCAGCCAGGTGAGGTTCAGTCAAACACTTTTCCCCGTGTCTTAACTTGGGTTGTGCCCAAGAATGTCTTCATTGTGTGCATAAACTGTCTCACTTTTTCTCCACTAGGCGTGAAAAGGTGATATTCCCCACCTTGGTCATGGGTAAATGAATTCATTTGCAATGATAAGCTGCATGCATTTTAACTGTGGTGCTTGGAGGTGCAGAACTGGTGGATATGCTAACTGCATGAGGTAGTTCTCGTAGCATTACAAACTAATAGGCAATGATTGAAGCCTGAGGCTATAATCTCTCTTTCTCTTTGCTTTAGATAAATTTCTCTGGTGCTGTGACCAGTTCCAGCTGTAAGATTGAGTGCTGCTTGCTCTCTTGACTTAATAACTCTTCAAATATATGCATGTTTCTGATGGAATCAGATGTGTCAGAGATTATGGGGTGAAGCATTGCTGCTGTTACCCCAGCTAATCCTAAAGTCAGTGTGTCCTTTGGCCTTGTTTCTTCTTCAGCACTGTGCTGGATGTTGGCCTGCCTCCAGAGGGAGCAGGAATGGCCGTTCCCTGCTGTGTGTGCAGTGGCTGCCAGGCTGGGTTATTCAGCTCCAGGATGGTCTTCTGTTGAGGTTCTGTTTGATGCTTAGGGTTAAGGGAGCCTCAGAGACTTCGTGCTAAGGACAAAGTACAGCTTGAAATACAGATTAATGAGTAAAGATCCATCTGGAGCAATCACAGGACAGAGAGTAGCTGGAAATGGGCACAAAGTTTATGCCGTGGTCAGGACAGCAGTCAGAAACACCCAGCAGGAGCTGCTGCAGGGGGGGGATGTTTCCAGCAGGAACTGTTGGCTTGGGATCAGTCTGAGGCAGCGGCCCTGAGGGACCCACCATAGAGAGAGCTTTGTGCAAATCAGGGCTGCTGCTTCATCTTCATTTCTGCACCAAGGGCAAGGCCAGGCAAGCAGTGTGCAGTGTGTGTTCCTTGTCCTGCTGTGCCCTGCTCAGCAATGGCTCCTTCTCCTTTTTGTCTCAGGCTTCATGAAGCTGTTTGTGATGCTGGTGGCTTAGTCTTGGCCCTGCCACATCTGTATGGCATCTGTGTGGAGGGCCTGCCTGCTTCATGGCCTCTGGCCTTGGTTATATTTCTCTGGGATGCAAAAAAGGGCATCCATGCTTCTGAATGGGCCTCGGGGCAGGAGCTGAAAGGAGTTATGTCCCTTAAAGGTGAAACTCTGCCATTCCTGCCTTGAAAGTCTCTTTTCTGTCCAAAAGGAAGCAAACCAACATGTTTTAATCCCATTTATTTTTTCTTTCTCCCCTGTGCTGCTTGGCAGAGCTACTTTCTAGCTGATAACTCATTTGCAGAGTCATGTTGGGACCAGGTTGGCTTCCTGCCCCTTCATTCACAAGGAAATGGCAGAATACATGTGCTCTCTAAGACTCTTCCAGCAGTGTTTTGCTGCACACAGTATGGAGGCACCTGCTTCTGAAACGTAGATCGTATCTCAGTCAGTTGAAATTTCAGCCTTAACAGGAAAGGAGAAGGCAAAGGTTTCACCCATACAGCCCTGTATGGGATGTGACAGGCTCTGCTGGGGGATGGGGAGGACTCTGCAGCAGCGAGCCCTGCGTTACCATGGGAAGCCAACCTTGCTAGCAGGCATTCAGGTTCTTCATCTGCTCCTCTGGATCAGTGCTGTAATTGCCAAGCACAAGGAGCGCTGGGGCAGCAGTTGGGTGGGTGTGCTGTCCTGCCAAGGGGTAACTGCAACTCCTTATCAAGGCTGGGCTGATGACATGCAGCAGATGGTGAGCTTAGGTGCTGTGTGCTGAGCCTAATTGCAGATCTGTCAAAGCCCAAACAGGGTAGAGGTTGTGGAAGGCTGTCACATGTGCATGCTGCTCCCTGGGCTGTGTACCCTCACAGCTAAAGCAGCTTTGGGAAGGGGTGAGCTTGTGGTTTGCAGCTAGGTGGAGGCTGTGGGTTCAGGGGCTGAATAGAGAGGGGTGGGGCAGGCCTGGAGGGCCCCAGAGCCCTTCTACACCCCCAGCTCTGCTGTGCTTTAATGTATGCTGCCTGTTCTCACTGAGCCCATTCTCCATTGCGTGGTGGTTGCACTGCAGCTGTATGAGTGTGTGCAGGTGGACAGACAGATGCCTCCCATCCACTGTGCTGGGATCAGCCTGTGTCAAGCCACCTGGGATGAGCAATTGGGCTTGAGGGGAACCAGCCCTGCCCAGCTGTGTCCTGAGGGCTGCCTGGGACCTCTAGGCTGGGAGCAGCTGCTGCTGGGCACTGGGGAAAGACATGGGGAAAGGCCTGGGGAGCAGCTGAGCTGCCTTTGGCTGTGCCACCCCTGAGGCCACAGCTCCTCATCCTCTGTGCAGCCACTGTGCAGTCAGCACAGAGCTGTCTCTATCACCGGGTGTATGTGCAGCAGGGAGGTCCTGGGATGGAGGGGCTGGGCTCAGCCCCCGGGGTGGCCTGGCACTGACCTGCCTGTCTCTTGTTGCTTCTCAGGGCAGTAAACGGCTTTGATCAAGGGACCCCGGGACTGGGAGCCTCCAGACCTTCCTCAGCACCTGGCATGCTCCCCCTGAGCGTATGAGTCGGCGCCAGGTTGTGCTTGGACTTGCGGACGCTTTTCTCAGCCCAACAAGAGAAGTGCTTTGGTTTCCTCCCCCTCCCTGCCCTGCAGGAACAGGACCTGCACCATGGCATGCAGCAGTGCCCGTGCTGCTAGAGGAGAGCCTGTGCTTGCAGCCTTTCATGTCCTGTTAATAGAGTTAACTGTAGTGGGTGTGCTCTGTGGCCCCATACTACATGTTGCACAAGCTGACACATAATGCTCTGTTCCAGGAGATGCAGAACCTCAGCCAGGTGCTGCTCGACCTGTCACTGCATCTCTTTTCTCAGTAGATTTGGTGTGACAAAAACATTTGCTGCTTTTCTTGAAGGCTACACGTCTCCCTGCCTGATCTCACATCCTGCTGTTTGAGCCAACCAGCTGCTGTCCTTCCTCATGGGGCTCAAACCTCTCAAGACACACTGAGTGAAGCTGGGAGCAGGAGTGGAGGCTGGCAATTAGCTCTGGAGGTGTGAGTTAATGCAGCATAGAAATCACTGCTGGACAGGTGAGCAGCTGGCTGTGTCCATAAGGCCCTTCCCCAGCCCAGCAGATGGATGTAGAGCTGTTGCTGGGGTGGGGCTTTGAGGAAGATTTGTGTAGGCCCAGCACACATCATTAAGCACCAGTGCCCATAGCAGCTCTGGGCTGAGCTTGGCTGGAGCCTCCTCCCTTGGCACGGAGTCTGCAGCAAGCATCTTTTTCCCATGTGCCTGAACCATCCCAGCATTCTGCCCTCCTTAGTGACACTTCTGCCCCCCAGAGCAGACATCAGCTCTTTAGGAAGCCGCTCAGCCCATGGACTGCAGTGCCCACCAACTGCCTCCTCCCAGCACCCTGTGTCCATCAATCCCATGTAATATAGGACGGGATTTCAGTGTCACCTGCAGGCTTCTGTGACAGTTTTGGGCGACTGTGTTCCTTGTGGGTCTTTCAAGCGATGTATTTGTGCGAGTTCTCTGTCGCTGTGCCTCAGAGTCAGTGGATTTTGATGTGAACCAATGCACCCCACGGGGGTCTAAGGAAAAAAAAACCTTCCCCATTTGGTCTATCGCATTCCATTGGCTCTGCAGCTGTACATTGGTTTAGTTACAAGCGCTGAGAGAAACCATCGGCCCCAGCAGAACAGAGGTGGGAACGTTTCCCCCTTTGCCGTTAGGGCCCCTATGGTCCTCCTTTCCTGTGCATCCTCTGCTGCATTTGACTGTTTACATTTGTTTTATTGTACATAGGTTTGTAAACATATTATCTTTGCCTAAGATCTTTGTACATAACTTAACTTGGGCTTTGTAGCTTTATTTATTCAAAGTCTATATGGCATGTTTCAATAGGACAGTGTACCATAACACCGTGGTCACTCAGCATAATGTGGTTTAAAGACAAAAAAAAAAAACCAAAACCTGAGAATAATATTCCCAAAATAAAGTTCTTTTAATGTGGAAGCGGTGGATTTTGCAGAAGAGCCAGCGGTGGCTGTGTTTGTCCTGCAGTGTTTTTGGCTGAGCCATAGGGCAGGGTGGGAGGCACTGCTCTGCTGTGCAGCTCCTGCCCCATATCCTGGCACAGCACTGCACTGCACAGTGTTGGTGCATGGAGTCAGCAGGGCTGAGCACACCTCTGCTCCCAGTGCTTTGGGGCAGGAATCTGCTTGTGGTCCTGGTGGAGGCATCCAGCTGCAGGCAACAACGGGCAATGCTGTTCAGGCTGTCAGGACCCCATGCACCCCCTCCAGTGCCTCCTCCAGCACTGCCCCCAGCAGCAGAGCGCTGTGCTGCTGCTCAGCCTTCCCCAGGTACTCATAGCCTCCACCTCACCCCAAAGCCCCTGCACCAGCAGCCATCCCCAGCCCAGTCATGACTCACGATCACAGCGCAGCCTTCCTGCTGCTGCCCTGCAGTGGCACCTCATGGAAATGCCTCGTTGCCAGCTGGTGTCAGGGCAGAGGCACGCATGCACCCACGGCAGCTCCTTCCTGGGGGAGAAGTGCTGGGCAGGAGGAGAGGGGACACCATATGACAGGGCTGCCTTCATTGCAGTCAGTTGCCCTGACCCCTTAGAAAGTCCCCTAACAGCAATAAACTGCTCTTGCACAGAACCCAAGTGGCCACAGTACCACAGGGAGATGAGAGCGCAGGCTGTGACACCTAGGGCACAGCACCACTTTTGCAGCACTCAGATCATAGGGTGGTGAGGCTCTTCCTTTGCAGCAGGAGGAGCAGCAGCCCAAGAGTAGCAGGGCAGGAGCTGGCAGCAAGGCACCATGTGGACAGAAGCAACAGCCCAGCCCAGTGAGATGCTCATAGCCCACACTTGCTTGGGGCCCACCAGTGCAGCTCCCACCTCCACCACTCACAGCTGCCCTGAAAGCACAGCTGCAGCACTGAGCTCCCTGCTGCCAGCACTGCTCCTTGCTGTGGAGGCAACAGGCACAGCTCTCCCTGCTCCCAGGAGAGGGAGCAGACCCTCACAGATACAGAACTGGAGCTCAGAGGACAGGAAGCATTTTGGGGCATTGAGACCCCTTTGTGATCCAGAGCTGCACTCCTGTTGAAGTTCTAAGGCTCAGCCCTCACCCACCACTTCACAGTGTACTGAGGTAGAAAAGAGCAAAACAGAAAACCAAAACACTAAGAAGGGAGCAGTCAGCTTCCAGCCATATTCTCATTTATTAAGGTCTATGCCAGCCTCAAGAAATAGCTCTTCCTGTAAGTAAACAGAGCAGGCGGCCACAGCTATAATGAATAAATTTATTGTCTTACAAAAATCATTGTCTAGAAATATGGGTATACAAGAAAACAAGATATTTGCAGTCAGATGCCTGGTGGTCAACAGCCAGTTTGATTAAAAATATCCAAACACACACAACAAAACCTTTGCGACAGATGTTAAAGCTTTTAACCAAAAAAAGGAAATCCGTATCTTTTTGTTTGAGCATGTGGCAGAGGAAGGTTCCTATTAACACTGATTCATTGTCACTAATATCCATAATACCACTTGGACTAGAGAGGTACATGATATGAAGCACAGTCAAAATTAATACATTAAATCATCGTTATATAGGCAAATTATATATGTAACATTGTCTTAGTACTGTAGTGTCTAAGGCACTTTCTGTAATGTCAGTTTTTCAGCTATTTAAACAAAAAGAACGCTAACTACTCGCTGTAATACTGCTCAAAATAAAAAACAACAGCAACAACAACGAAAAAAGGATTCACATCCACTGGCATGTTAACTGCAGGCAGGCAACATCCCTCTGCGCAGCGCTGCGAGCACGGCCATGGCACCGTCCTGAAGAGCGCTCAGCCTGAAGTTCATAAATTACTGTGCCTGTGTTGTATGCTTGTTTTCCACTGGTGTTCACATTGTACTAGCCTTAATATATATATACAGACCTGTTGGGCATGGGAAGAGCAGGATGCTACAGCTGCAAAGTACTGTACAGAGAGGAACGGTGACGCTGTTTGCCTGTACTGCATGACACTAATGGATGAAGCAGGTGCTGAGAACACTCCAAAATGGTACTGAGGGTTAAAAAATGGACACTACTCACTCATCCCTACGTTTCCCTCTAACGCTTCCCGAGGTTCTTCACAGTTCACTCACTGATTGTGTGCCGATCACAACAATTAGGAGAAAAGAAAGATGCGGGTGCAGTTTGGTCTTCAACGATCCAACGGGCTCAGTGCAGCCAGGGGCTGCCCAAGCACAGAAGAAATGGAAGGATGTTGTCTGTACAAAGCATGCTGAGTCATGACAATGGGGCTGTCCCAACCACCTACCCTCTGGGAATGAAGTTTTGTGTTTGTTTTTTTTTTTAACCAATACAGAAAGTTTCATCCTTCACATGATGCTTTATAAAATGGCTTTACAATGAGTGTCTGGAAAATAGATGCACTGAACAGAGACGATCCCGTTTTGTTACTATATGTAAAAAAAAAAAAAGCAGTTGTACCTATATCTGAAGCAGGGTACAGTATGGTGAGGCTGGAGAGCCTTAAGACATAGTTGACCTATGGTAAGTAACCTTGTAGCATGCCGACATTTTGTAAGGCATATTTAGGGCCACAAGGCAGTCTGGTGGTCAGGAAAGTCCTCCTCGCTCTGCCGACTGTTGTGTAAAGGTCTCTGCATGCAAATGGTGTGCGGGGCTCTACTCAGCAGGGGTCGGCTGCGCTTCGTTCACGTCGCTGCCTTTGCTCTCTGCGTCGTCGTCCGACAGCTCCAGGGAGGCCCCTTCGATGTGCAGCTGGCGCCTGCCGGATCGGCTGGAGGAAAAGGTGATGGGGCCGCCCCTCCTGCAAGCAACAAGCAGAGAACAGCTTTTGCATCGTCCTCACACTGCCATGGCAGCTCCCAGATGAGCTGCAGGGGAACAGCACTGCCCAAAGTTCACAGGAGGAGCATTGGAAGCACTGCTCCCACCACGGGGTCATCACACGCCCAAAGACGTTCTGGTGCTTTGCTTCGTTCAGACCACACACTGAGCAGGGCAGGTTCTTTAAAAGCTGCTTACCTAGGAAGTGCTGCACTGCACCCCTCCTGCCACTGCTGGCCCTGCAGCAGCCCAGGATCGTTTTCCTCCAGCCCCAGTCTGTACTGGATACAAACGCTGAGAGCAGAGCTTTGAAATCAAAGGTGAAAAGCTCCCACGGGGTTGGCTGGGAACAACACAATCACTGCTTGCCACTAGAAGAGCATAACTGAGCTGTCTCATTTATGCCATGTCACCTCCTGCTGCTGGACTCAGGCACCAGCCCCAGCCAACCCAGGATATATGCTCTGGAGAGTTCTGGCTCAAGAGCCATCAGGAAATCCTCACATCCAGCAGCTGCCTCAGCACCATCACGTCATGCTCAGGCAGCAGCTCCCAGCAGACTCCAGTGCAGCCCATCCCCTAACAGCAACAGCTCTGCTTTCACAGCTCCACAGCTGAGTGGTCCCCAAGGATGCAGCATTACAGACACGGTCAGAGGACACCCAGATAAAGCCATGCCAACTCCTGCACCACGTACCTTAACCTGTTTTTCAGGGTGCTGACCTCCCGGCTCAGGCCCTCGTTAGCCTCTGTGGCATCGTCCAGCTCACGCTGCAGTTTACGTCGGGAAGCGTTTGCACGTGTGGCTTCCTCCTCAGCCTCCTCCAGCTGACGCTTCAGCTGCTTCATCCTGGCATTTGCTTTTTCCATCTAAAATAAGAAATCAGGTTGTCAGGATCGAACTCAACAGCTACAGCTCCGCAACTTGGAAAGGCAGAGAGGTCCTCCAGTACCCCAACCATCCCTGCTGGAGATGGAGCCTCAGGGCAGACTCGCATCTGGATTCCTGGGAACAGCCCACAACTCCTGAGTCTCAGAGACCAGGTGCATAACACATCATCATAACAGAGCTAACACAGGGAGCAGGCAAGGAACTGCTCTGCCAATTCAGTTATCAAGACTGGGATTCCCTCACTCTTCATTAAAAAGCTTCTTAACAATGCCGTTCTACTCAAAGCAGGGTTTTTAATCCATCTTTCCCAAGCACAAGCTAAGCCACTCCACCCACCTGCTCCTTGTATTGGTCTGCGTGTCGGCGCTCGTCCTCCACCTGCATGAAGACTTCTTTTAACTTCTTCTCTGTGCGTCGCACCAGTTTGTTTGCAGCTGCTCTTTCCCTGGAAAGGATCAGAAGCCACATGGGGGCTGTGAGCACCAGCTTTAGAAGCGTGCAGTACGAGCACTGGGGCAGCACAAGTACTGTTAGAAAGCCAAAAGGAGGGACAGGGATGTGCTTCTACACAGCAAGATTCAACAAAGCAGTGTGAGGGTTATTGCTAAGCAATGTCATGGTCCTCCTCCTGAGCCAAAAGCCCAAGAGGAATGAAGGTGGGGATAAGACAGCCCACTTTCAATCTTCCGAGGACAAGGCAGAGAAAAAAAAAGTTGGAGGACTGAGATGGAAAGAAGCAGTCTGAAGAAAGACGACTTGTCCAGAGCACAAGATTCAAAGAATGTCTGAGGTGAGGAGGGACCCCTGCAGGCCATCTGCTCCAACAGGGCCATGCAGAGCTGCTTTTCCATACCCAGCAGCTTTCAAATGCCTCCAAGGAAGAGACCCCACAATCTCTCAATAACCTGTGCCAGTGCTCAGTCACCCCCAGTCAGAAAGTGCTTCCTGATGTTCAGGTGGAACCCTCTGCATTCCAGCTCCTGCCACTGCCTTCTGTCCTGTTCCTGGGCACCACTGATAAGAGCCAGGCTTCATTCTCTGCACCTCTCTGATGGATGTGCATATATGAATGACGTCCCCGAGCCTCCTCCAGGCTCTGCAGTCACAGCTTTAAGCCCTTTCTCACAGGAGAGAAGCTCCAGGCCCTCCTTCCCTTTAAAGCCTAACCCAAAGAAACCAGTGTATTAAGGAGATGTTTGGTCTTAAGAAGCTTCTGCTAAAGCAGCTGTGGTTTCTGGGACTACCAGCCAACACAATCACTTGTTAACTTCAAGAAATAAATCAGCAGTTTCAGTTAAGGAGCACACACTCTGAAACGTTCAACCCCAGTGCATCTGATTTAAGTCAGTCCCTCTAACAGGTTTCTAAATAATAAAACCTACTAGCTGTGCTGTAGCCGTGACCTCACACCTCAGCCCCACAGTAACTTAAGGCATGGATGTCTCAGACACTCTACTGACAGAGCACACAGATTTTCCCTTACTTTGCTTCCTGCTCAAGCTGTTCTTCTAGCTGAGCAATCTTGGCCTCTAGAGTAGAAATTGTTGCCTTGAACTTTGACTTCACAGATCCCTCCAGCTCCTGCAGCTTGGCTTTCAGCTCTTTGTTCTGTCTCTCCAGCTGCTGCCGTGCATTTTCACTCTTCTGCGCAGCGCTCCGCTCCCCAGCCAGCTCAGAATTCAGCGTGTCAACCTTTCAGAGGAGGAGAAAGGATCATTTGGTGCTATTCAGAGCCTCCACTCAACCCAAGCACGAGCTGTCCTGACAGCAACTGCCAACAATTCACCTGCAGCGTGGTCTTCCGGAACCGCTCGTTGAGAAGCTCCATGTTGCTCTGCTCTTCTTCCAGCTCCTCCTCCAGCTGTGCAATGCGAGCCTCCAGCCGGCGCTTCTCATCCAGCAGTGCTGACCTGGGAGAGAAGCACTGGGGTCAATACATGTTCAGGTGTGATATAAAGCCAGTTGCTTTGTATTCATGAAGACGAATGAACACAGAATTTGCCAACAGGCTATTGAGAACCGCAGCTGCTGCTGCCTGAAGTCCTTCAGATGCACAGTGGATACGTTTGATGACTCACTTTCCTGAAGCGCTGTTTGCAATCTCATCAGCCAGCTCGTCCCTTTCTTGCTCAGCGTGACGACGGGCTCGTTCAGATGCTGCAAACTCCTGCAAAGGTTTCAGAAAAGATGCGTTATGAATCTCAGAAGGCCTGTGAACAATTTGTCCTTGGAGTAACTTCTGGGAGATGCTTCGAAGTGTAATATTCCTTCAATCATAGAATGATAGAATGGCCTGGGTTGAAAAGGAGCACAATGCTCATCCAGTTCCAACCCCCTGCTCTGTGCAGGGTTGCCAGACCAGGCTGCCCAGAGCCACATCCAGCCTGGCCTTGAATGCCTCCAGGGATGGGGCATCCACAACACTAAAACACACGAAGAACAGTAACACTGAAGCTGTAAGCAGGAAGAAAAAAAACAAACACTGTTGGACCAATCACAGTGGTACATGCTCAATGTAAAACAGGCACTATGTTAAGCAAGCTTAGTTTCTTACACCTTCAGAGTACACAGCATCAGTGCAAGAAAAGGAAACAGACTGAGAGGCTTCAGCACAGTAGTATAAACAGCACTGAATTTCACATCTTAAACTGTATTATGTGGCAGAAAGTCAGCAGACTTCAGTGGTCCACTGAGGTGGGATGGTGGGATTCCTGGTCTTCATGCATTTCTAATTCCCAATTTCAGTACTGTGCACCACAACTCTCAGAGACTCCTGAACCTCCCTGCAAGTTCAGTGAGGCCTCAGATCTGTTTAAGCTGTCATGCAGCTCAGACAGAGAAGTAAAGGGTTGTGCTGGAATGATTCCACTGAAGCCCAAGCTCATCAGAGAGCTGCTGAAGGAAGCAGGGTGATGGGGTGGGAACAGAAAGCTCTCCTGGCTCCCATTTCTGTTCAGCACAGTAGGACAGATTTTCATTCCCACTGCCCAACCTTCCCCTTACTCTACCAAGGAAAATAAGTGTTGTGAAGTTCACTCTCACCTCCTGGAGCTGAAGTATTTCTGCTTCGAGACCTTTGAGTTTCTTTTCACTCTCTTTGGACTGTGCAAAGATCTCATCTCTGGACGCACGGGCTTCTTCGAGCTCCCGCTGGTAGTCCTTCATTTGAGCCTGCAGTTGGAAAAGTCCCACAGCCACGTTGCATTAGGGAGCCACAAGATCTATTAGGAGCTCTGAAGCAACTTTGACCCTTTAGAGGAAAGGCCTCCCTCCCCCAGAGTGACTTCATTCCACTTCAGTGCATCTTCAATTATTTTTATAGTTTAACTTCATTTTCTTGTCTCCATCATGCATTCCTCATCACAAATATCCTATTATAGGGCTTTACTTAATATGTTTGGTATATTTCTTGTCAAGAAAAGAACTCAAAGAGCTGTTCAATTACATTTACTGTGGAACGTGTGGAAAAGATAAAGCTTTTGGAGTGATTTGGGAAAAAAAAAATCTATGCACTCTGACTGGAAAAGCATATTTCAATTATACAAGGTAAAACTTATCTCAGTGCAGCAGTACCAACCCTACTGTTTTATATATATAGGCTAGAAGCACATGCTTAGCTTCTACTTACACACACTGCTAAGACCTCAGTGTGTGCTAAGCTGCACCAGTTTGACTTATGCTGCTAAAAGAGCATGAAAGCTGGAGAGAAACTGCATTTAAATTACACTTACACCTTTGGAATGCCTCCCATCTTGAAAATACTTATTTTGGGTGCTTGCATGAAGGCACACAGAGCTCAGCAACAAGATTTCTACCTGACCTGTTCTTCTGGAGAGGAGGAGTATGATGCTGTCAGGTACCAGCACATCTTGCTTCAGCCTTCCCTCCTCACCCACAGCCTGGACTCTGGCCCAGAGCTGTCTCTGTTCAGTTGGATTGCCAAGGCATAGAGAGGACAGGGCAGAAATGCAACTTAATTGCCACGTGCCTTACGTGGTCTTGCCACGATCTCACACTTCTGCAGCTTTGGACCATGGCACTGAGAAATCTTAGGCAAAACTCAACTCTACCAAATGTTGAATATTTTTCTGAGAATGAAAAATAAATCCTCAGCGCAAGGACTGGGATCTCTTGCCAAAGAAGAAGAATGAGCAACTTGGAGCTTTTTAAAAGCAACTGGAAGTTACTCCTCCTTTTTCTCTGAAGCATTTTTGGCTGAAAATGCCTTCAGATGTTCTTGAGGAAGCAGCAATCAGGAACAGCTGAGCCCAAATCAGTAAATTCAAAGACATAAAATTTAAAAAATGTGCTCTGTAAAGCAATATTCAGTAAATTCTTCAGAAAGTGTTGAAATAAAGGAAAAGACCACTACTGGATAGAAATACATCGCAGACAGCCTTAACTCCTTACCAACAGAAGGGTGAGAAGAGATACTATGTTCAGGCCAGATACTCTATGACAGGCCAGCACAGTCGAGTATGACATTCCTCTTGCCTTCTAACTACAAATGTCTTCAATGAGAAGAAACAGACTTGAATGTCACCAGAGGACAGAGCACAGTTCGTTAGCTGGGCTTACCTGGAGCTTACGCAGCTGTTTGATGGCTTCATCTCGAGCCTTGTTTGCAGCTTCTATCTGACCTTCCAGGTCTTTCAGATCCATCTCCATTTTCTTCTTGGCTGCTACGGCAAGAGCCCTCTGCTTGCGCTCATCCTCCAGCTCTGCCTCCAGCTCTCGCACCTGTGAGGTGAAGGCATTTAGCAGATCTGTCCCAGCAATGGAACAAACGCAAGTCCTAACTAATGGTCTGAGAATCCAAAAGGCCTTTGCACAACTGAGTGAATGTGGCTTGATTGGAAGAGACTACAGAATGCAAGCTACAGGGGAAGACACTGCAGATGGCAAAAAACAAATCCACAAATTGCAAGCAGAGATCTCTGAACTGACAAAAAAGAAACAGACAATAACTCACTGTTAGAAGCATTCCCACTTCATCTGCTCAGCTATTTAGTGATCGTAAGTTATTTCCCTTTTTGTATATAAAAATCAAGTTTTGCTCCTTATGTTAACATCGAGGGCTTCCATCCTATGCAAGTTAATGATAATTTTTGCATTGTAAAACTTCAGAAGCCTTCCAAGGCTGTTTGTTTCTACAAGATCCATATATTAGAGATTCTCTGTTATTCAGTAAGATCAATGCTAGAGATTTTTTATAGGGTGGGATCTTTTAAGCAAATGATTTTATTTTTAATAGTAAGTTACTACGGAAGCCCAAAACTTTGGCAACAGAGCCTCACACCCTTCCCTCTATGAAGTGCAATGAAGTGCAGTAAACCAGACATACTTGTTTGACCAGCATCCTCTTTTTCTCTTCATTCTGCTCATCTCTGGCTTGCAGATCTCTCTCAAACTGGGCTTTCATAGCTTGCATGTTCACCTCCAAACGAAGTTTAGCATCTTCTGTGGCCTGTAGTTCATCTTCCAGTTCCTCAAGTTGAGTTCTCATCTCTTCAACCTGTTGCTCTAAAGTTCGCTTGGATTTCTCCAGCTCATGGACCTAAACCACAAACATTTATCAGACCCTCTCCCTCAGCTATCTAAACAAAAGTTAGTAACAGTGAAAGAAGGCATGGACACAGCATGCTACGCTTGTGATGATGCTCAAGTCTGAATCAGAATAGGCAGAGAAACTTTTCTAACTCTGCACAACAAAAAGCTGTGTAGATTGCTAGAAAGAGGAGCTGTGTCAATGTGACAGAGAACATACTGAGACAAGCTCTTAAATCTAGAGCAGGTACCACTCGCCATTTAGCCAGCAACTTCTGCCCTCCATTTGGTCTCTTTGGAAGATGTGAATTAAGCCTGAAAACCCAGATTCTGTGCATTCATACCTCGAGTAGTTTGTGTTACATAAAGCTTTCATGTCAAACATACCCTTCCAGTGAGGGAGTTTTACTGTGCTATCAACATGTAGCATAACAAAATAAAAGGAGGAAAAGTACTTACATTTTTGCCTACATCATCTTTAGAACTCATTAAGTCCTCCATGTCTGCACGCAATTGTTTGTTCTGTCTCTCAAATTCTTCCTTTGCTTCCAGGGCTTCTTCCAAAGCCCGAGCCAGAGACAGTGCTTTTGTTTCCTTCTCCCTTGCCTCTGCCTCAGCACGATCTCTCTCCTCTGCATATCTAGCAGAAATGTTCTTCTCTTCTGCCAGCATCTGAACAACAAAATAACACAAACAGATAAATTAATCTCCTTGTTCTATAATCAGCTCCTTACAGCCCTGTGTGTTATAGTCATTCGAGTGGTCAATGGTTTAAGTTTAATCAGCCTTCAGAAGTTCTCTCTGGCCTTTTAGGACGTGGTCAGAGTGCTGGTTAAGGAAACAGCTGAAGCTGTTCAGGAATGAGATGAGGAAAGAAAGCTATCAGTCAACACTAATGTGCTGCATTTTGATCTTTTGGTCCTTCTGTCCTTTCTTACTGTAATCCCTTAAGCTTAACTAAAGCTTTTAAAGTCAAGTTTCTGTTCCAGTATCATTTCCTTTTGTACATATAAGGAGCTTATTTCTTGATTTAACAGAACTCAAAGGTGATATGTAGCTCACTGATTGCCCACCCATAACAAGGATCACGATGCTCACATCAGTTATCAATAACCACTGGTACTCTGGCTGGATTCTTCTATCTCCAATATTAATTTATGCAGTAACTACTTCAGCAAATGCCATTTAAAAATCATAGTAATATGACAGGAAACTAGATTACCTGATCAAATTTCTTCTGCTTTTTCTCCAGGTTAGACACAATCTGGCGCTGATGATCCAGATCTACCATCAAGTCATCCAGCTCTTGCTGCAGGCGATTCTTTGTCTTTTCCAGTTTGTCATAAGCCATTGCCTTCTCTTCCAGGCGTTGGCTTAAGGATTCCATATCCTTCAGTAATTTCTTCTTATTTTCCTCCAAACCTTCAATTGTTCCCAGGTCATCATCTACCTTCTTCTTAGACTCTGCTAACTGAAATGTATCAAAAGAAAATATTAGTGCTTAATACATCATGAGAAGAAAACAAAAGCATCAAGCCCAGACTACAAAACCACAAACAGATGCTATCACTAGTTGAAGTAACACAAAAATGGTGAGCTAGCAGCATACAAAACAGAGCAATGTTCTGCCCATTACAGTTGATTGTGCCAATCATTACTGCAGTGGAGGAAGAACACAGGAAGCTCTATTCAGAAATGCAATTCACTGTTTCTGCAAGTTAGATCACAGGCTGTCTTGAGTTGCAAGGGACCTTGAAGACTACCCAGTTCCAATGCTCTGCCATGAGCAGGGCACCTTCCACCCAGACCAGGCTGCTGAAGGCTGTGCCCTGCCTGAGCACTGCTAGAGACAGGGCACCCACAGCTCCACAGATTCAACAGACTGGCTTGACATCTTCAGATGACATTTTGCCCAGGTCTACAGATGTCCTGCTGTTTGCAACAACCTACCTGTGCCTGCAAGGCTAGCATCTGTTTCTCCAGGTTCTTCCTGGCCTCCTCCTCCTCTTCCTGCTGCTCTTGCAGATTGTTCTTCTCCTCTTCTAGCTGCCTAATTCTGCTGCTCAGGTTGAGTTTCTGGCGTGTTTCTTCCTGAAGTAGTTCCTGTCACAGAAATATTCAAAGCTCAGTTTGACTACCATCCTCCATTGCTCTATAAAGAGTTTCAGGCTTAATTATTTTTCGTGCAAGATTTTCATTCAGTGACATGCTTATGAAAACAACTGAAATTCAATTTTCCAGTATGGTATTAAACATTCATTTGGGGCAAACCTCTATAAAGCATATTTCTGATAAGGGAATATATGCTACAGTATTCTAGAAATTCATATTTTTCCTTTGTTTAGAAGGGGTGAGTTGAGAAGTTATCTTTAGAATTTACTTTTCTTCTTTAAGATAAGCATAGAGTACCTATTTAAAATGACCTAGGAATAAAAAAAAACAGTAAATCTTGCAATGGCAGCATACTGAAGCTTTGCTGTATTGCAGAAATGTAAAAGTCAGTTGAAAAAACTGCTGTAATGTGGTAACAGAAACCTGTCATAATAGAAACTAATAAAGGTGTAACAACCTTCCCTCAGCCCCCTTCCTCACACACCTCTAACTGTGATTAACATCACTCAGGTAGTCACCATTAGCATTTTTACACTTGAAGAAGTGTATTAGAGTGATAATGACATGAAACCTACATTATTTAAAATAAACAACAGCTACAGGCAGTTTTAAGACCTTAAGCTGTAAGAAATGTTATCAGCCCTCACCTTCAGGTACCTTCCATACACTTCAAGAATCTCATTCACATTAACATTCTACTTGGAAGAGCTCTTCCTGACTAAATACTTATCTCCCACAGACTACAAAATAGAAGAGAAACTGAAAGGTTACTGTCTATCAAATACTGTATCTTTGATCATGAAAAACTGGCCTCACACGTAGCTGAGCAGTCATTTATACATCATATTTCACTAGACACAAAGATTCTATTCAGTGGACTTTCAAAGCCATGAATGAAAATGTATTTTCTGCTCTGCAGTTAGCAGTTTGGTAAGGAACAAAGCTCAAGTGCAGATTTCAAGCTTCACAGTACACACACCTGTGTATCCTGAAGTTGGGATTCCAAACTAGCTGCATCCTTGGCAAACTTGATGCCTTTCTTCTCTGCTTCCTCCAGGAGACTTGAGACATTATCCAACTCATTCTGCAAAGCAAGCAGCCTCAAGGTAACAGCATGCAGCTAACTGATGGCAAATCCTACATCCCACTGGGTGCTGGAGCTTCAGAACCAGCCTCAAATTCCAGGCATGCAGTGGCAACAGTAGCTCCCAGTATACAGGTATCACAAACTACATAAATTGAAAAGTGGCTATAAACTTAAGTTGGATGCCAATATTGAACTTCAGTGGTATAAAGTGGTAGCTATGCCATTTAATGGAACATGTCACTCCAATATCTGCAGGCCAATATTCTGCATTCATAGTCAAACGTTATTCTTAATTACAGGATTATATGGGATCATGAATTCAAGGGTTATCATGATGACATCTGTCTTTAAGGCACCTCAGCAAAGGCTACCATCGGGTGCCAACTCCAGTTACTTCAGACTGTGTTTCTTAGGGGATACTGTAAGGATACATGAAATCTTCCTCTGAAGTGAACTGGGCCATCCCCATTCCAAAGGGCATTATGTTGATTTACCTCAGAATTCATTGCTGTTCTTCAGAAGTCAGCCCTGGCTCCTCTTTTGCTCATTTTCTCTAATTCCCAAATAATGGGACTTGCAATCCTTATCTGTCAAGATCCCAACTTTGAAGCACAAAAGGAAACCAGTGACTTTCAGCACATTTTGCTCACACCTCCAAATGAGAACAGCCCAGTCTGCTCCATCCTCTATCCAAGATCAAACCTGAAGGCCTGGCAAAGCCTCCTACAAGGTTTGTTCTCCAGGATGGGAAGCTATGCACTTAGAAGGCACTATTAATTATTACACAGCTGGACAGTCAGAACATAAACCTGAGCTTTTGGGGCTATTTCTTTCAGAGATATGTCATCACTTTAAGGCTCCTGAAGTCCACACCAGCAACGTGACTGGGGTCACTTCCCACATCCACCAGGAGCCCAATTCCTGCAGACCTTGCTGCGTCTTTGAAGGATGTTTTGCCCAGTTATTTCTGCAGTTTTCACTTTCTTGCCTATTTTTCAGCAGCTTAGGACTTCCACAAAGCCTTACCTGCAGCTTGTTAGCTTTCTCCGCCAGCTCCACCCTCAGTCTTTCGCCTTCTGTGACCTTAGCAGTTAGTTCTTGTACCTGAGCATCAAGCTTCTTCCTCTTATGCTCAGACTCTGCCTTGACCTGCTGCAACACCTTCACTTCACAGGCCAACTCCTTGTTGTCAGACTCCAGGCCTTGCTTGTTTTTTTCAAGATTTGCTTTGAACTAGAAAAGAAAAAAAATGAAAGAAATTCAACACTTTGTTACATATATCAATAAAGGAATCTGCTAAAAAAAAAATAACGCAGTCCAGCAAATCCACTTTACAAGTTCAAAGATAAAACAAGCACTCAGCAAGCTGCAAGCAGAGTGCTTAAAATGTTGCCAGGTAACATTCTGTGCATGTTAGACAAATGTGAGTTACTGCAAGTTAATCCACTTTCACACATTACAGGTATCAGTGAGCACCACAAGATCCTCTGTGACTTCAGTAAGATCTGGGACACCAGTGCTGTGGAATGACTGTTAGAGTGGCACTGTAAGTAGGAAGGAATGTGCCCATTAACAGATCAGCATGGCTCATCTCACAGAAATAAAAGGAAAGATATCAGCTGAAGTTGCCCTGATTTTAGTAGGCATAGCAGCCTGGAAGTGCATAACAAAGCACTTTCCACCACTGCACTGACATTTGTCAAAAAAATCTTTTGAAACACCTCTTACGCCAATTATTTTTAAGTTCCATTCTTATTACTAGTTCTATTTGTTCCATTCTCACCAAAACTGACACCATTTTCTCAGAGGACCCTTGTTTAAGATTGCAGGGTATTTTTTTCATTTTTCATGCCCTATTGTTGACATTTATTAAACAAGAAGCAGAGTATGCAATATATTCAAGTGAAAAAAACTCATTTTCCAGCAGCTTAACTGCTGCATTTCTCACTCACTATTTTCAGTTAAAGAATTCTGTGAGTTATTCCCTATATAAAAACAGGTCTACAGCTTATGAACTGTCCACAGATATATTTGTGAATGACCAAGACTGCCATCACATAAGCTAAATGCTCTTTTTGGCAGTGTTGGAATAATTCTGCTCTTGAACAAAACACCCACCAGTAGAAATAATACTACCTATGGCTAATAACAAAGGAGTGCCTCCTCCTACCTGCTCTGGTGGTGGTTACCACAGAAGACAATAGCTGTACAGATGGGCCAGATGCTCCACACATACCTAGCACTGGAGTTCCCAGTGCAAGTGCAGAGTTGGAGTGGCTGGAAGAACTTCACAGTACCTGCACTCAGAGCTCGTTATTTCTGAGTGCTGATGCTACAGTGCCCATATTTGGAAGCATTCTGTTGATCGCTCATGCTGTGAACTACTTTTCACCAAATAAGCATGAGGATTGCTGGATAACTCGCACATGATTTTATCTGTAGGTGTATTCTTTCCAAGAGCAATCAAGGCTTTTCACACAGATGCCAAATCCAGGAGTTTCAATATATTCACATGCAGTACATTTGGTTCAATTACAACAGTAATGTATGTACAAATAAAGACAATTTAGCTCTGCACATGTGAGCAGAAGGTCCCAGAACAGTCACATCACTTATGTAAAACGCAGAAGCAGAACAATGCATTTCTGTAATTCATTTTCTGCTCACCCTTTTGGCCTGCTCAAGTTGTTCAGAGAGCTCTTCCAGGGCAGTAGCATGCCTCTGCCTGATTTCCTGGATCTGTGCTTCATGGTTCTTGGTTTCCTCTTCAATTGCTTTCTTCAGCTCAGCCACCTCCTGCTCACGTTTTGTCCTAGAGCAAGCATCAGTTATAAATTAAAAAAAAAAACAAAACCAACACCATTTTAATCTCTAGTAAATGAAAGGTTAATTTTATCAATGCTTTATTACACAGGTACATGACCCTACCTCAGCTCTTGCTGTGCTGCAGTGGTATCCAAGGTATCTTCCAGTTCAGTTTTTAAAGCCTCCAACTCTTCACTTAAATCTCTTTTCTGCTTTTCTGCCTTGTTGCGTGATGCCTTCTCAGATTCAAGATCCTCCTGCAGTTCTGCAATCTGGGCCTGCAACTCTCTTATCACTTTAAGTGCATTGTTTTTCTGAACTGCTTCTTCATCACCTCTGTTAAACAAAGGCACAACAGTCAATAATATTTCTTTGTTCTCATAAGTCTGGCATTAATTATATACACAATAGCTTAGAAAAAACACATATTGTAAAATTTCAGATAAATTGTGCAGTGGCTTTCTTAATGTCTTGACAATCACAGTGCTGTAAGATGCACTGTAAGAATGATCAAACTTTTCAAGTTAACATCCAAATATTCTAGTTTTGCAGATCTCATTCAACACCATTCCAAAAACGCACTGTCTGCTGAATTCTTTCTGCAACATAATAGATCCCTACACAAAAAATAAAAATGCATTTCATCTATATCATATTGTTGCAACAGCAAGACTACCACACAAGTCCTGATCATTTGTTTCCCACCTAGCCATGGAAAGTACTATGACTCACTGACAATTAAACGTTTTTCCCTCTTGAGTCTGAACTCTGGGGACCAAACAGCTTCCAGAGCTCCAACTCTTGTACACTGTTGTACACTGCACTCTTTGTAGTGCAAGGACACATAAAACACTCAATCCTGGTTTGGCCATGCCTGCTCAGAGCACGCTGATGTCTACAGATTCCCTCTGACAGATGTGAACTGGTGTCTGTGCTGACACTCCCATCCCAATATGCTTACAGTTAACTCAAAGCACTCATGGAACGCAGCTTTCTACCATTCCTCATAAACCCCACTGTGCTCTGACCTTGCAAGAGCAGCCTGCAGCTCTTCCTCCTTCTTGGCCAGCTGGATCTTCAGCTCCTCAATCTGGGCTTGCAGCTCAGCTATTTGGTCCTGTAGATCTGTTGTTTCACCATCCAGTTTTCTTTTAGCTTTTTCTAATTCCTGACGTGTCTTCTCCTCTTTTTTTAAGCGCTCTGTAGAAGTGACAAAGATTTGTAAGGTTTTTTTGTTTTTTTCTTTTTAATCTAATAATCCTCCAAAGGTTTGTGGACAAGGGAACAGGGTGGCAGGAGGGGTGGAAGTTTAATTAATATTAAGTCAATTTTTCACCCAGTTTCTAGCTAGAATGTTGACTGGGAGAGATAAACTTCATAAAGTTCAGAAAAAGTCAGTTTGAGGAAGCAGAAAGTTTGAAGCAAGGAAACAGAAACAACTCAGCTTTAACAGAAAGTAAGGAATGGGGTCTGGCAGAAGAGCAGTCTGAACTGCTAGGACAGACGATCACATGCACGAGGATTCAAAAATGAAGATCAGCAAAGGTCTGGAAAAAGTGACACCGTGCACAGCTTCTGAAGGGGAAGGCAAGGCTCCAAAACATCTACTGGAAAGTACAGGCTTAAGAAAGTTTGGACAAACAGTTTTATGGAAGCATCTGTGCCACTACCACATCCCACTGATACTCAGCAAACTTTAAACTTTCTCAGTTGAGATACTCCTGCCCTGAGGCATTTCTTTGTGAAAAACATCCATTTATCAGTGCTCTATCAATGCACCAAGCCTGTTGTTAGTGCAGTCACTACCTGCAGTCAGCTAATGGCCAGCTGTGCAACACACTGGAGCCACAGGAAGTTTTCCAAACCACTGATATTTAGCACAGAATTAGTATAATGCCACATACGAGAGCATAATTATTAGACTAGTTAATATTTTGTGGGTTCTCTTTATATATAGATTTCTTTCCCATACTTTCTAAGCTTGCTACTGGTTCAGGCCCTCATCTTCTTTATGGAAAGAGAGCTATGATGCTCAAGAATGATCTGTCACAGCCACCCAGGGTAATTCAGACCATCAGTATGTTTTTCTGGAAAATCCTCTCCCTCTAAAAAGTTTCTTACAAAACAAAAAAAAAAAGGCATTTTTCCTTCTGTTTTGACATCATATTTCTGAGGAGCTTTAGTCAGAACGCTGCCACCAGACAGTGAGAAGACACAAGAAATCTCACAGCAAAATTAATTGTTTTTTCAGTCTAAATTTGAGTGCCCAACAGCACCAAGACCCAGGCAGAGAAAGTTTTAAGGCTTCTTGAACCACTGCCAAGAGTAAATATTATTCTATGGTGCTTTGCTAGCCAAGAAATTGCGTGCCTTACATTTAAGCTTTAATTTCCATTTTTCGGTCATCAATCTCAGAATGGCACCATAACCAAACACATCTGTCAAATACCTTCAAAACCACTAATCCTGATTCAAGCAAACAGTGACTCCAGAATTATTTTCCAGTTTTACTCATTCCCAACTTATAGCCTCTGCCATAGAAGATGATTTTTAAAGAAAAGGCACATCAATCTCCTTCTATCCCTATTAGCTCAACACCTACCTACACAGGGAAAACGTAGCTCTGGTATTCTTCCATAAGCACCTCAGTTTTAAAAGATGTGGCAAGACAGGCCATTATATAGCTGGTGAAAAACTATTTCCAAATTAGGGCACAGAGTAATTCTGCCTTACATTCTGCAATTTCAACTTGGCACTCTATTCACATTGTGTAATAGCTATGTACAATCATAAGGGTTTTTAATACATTTATTTTACTTTTCAAATTAAGAAGGGTTACATGTATACGTAGGGCAGCTTCAATCTGTGACAAAACTGTTAAACAATCCAGAAAAAATGGACAGAAAAATGGAACCATTTCAGATATACAAAACATTGAGAAAAACAAAATAATTCATGTTTGCTCAGGCTTCTAATTTTTTTTTTTTTGAATAAATGAATGGCTAATAACATTCTTTCAGAAATGTTTTTTTAAGAGGTTATTACAGAAAAGCATAGAAATTCCTGAGACAGATGCTTTACCTTGTTACTAAGGGATTCGTGCAACATCACGAATTCCTGAATGCATCTGTAAATGAAATGGATTCTAAAAACTGTAACATGAGTTGAAGAACAACACGGAGGAGCCAGATGCAACAAGCCTTGCAAGAACACAACATTTCTTGCAAAGTTTAGATAACAAACAAAAGCTATTAAGGCATATACATGTAAGGGTACATTTAGAAGACCAAGCCAGATATCTATACATTGCTGTAAGTGATCCAATCCTTTCTAGCATGACCTCAAAGCTGCTGATAGGCAGATGTAAAAGAACACACCTTCTAAATCAGTGATCATCATCTCCTGTTTGTTCTTCAGTTTGGCCAGGTTTTTGGCCTTTTCTTCTTCTTCAGCCAGCTGAGAAGTACATTCAGCAATTCTATCCTCCATCAGCTTCTTTTCCTAGTTAGGAGAGAAGTGAGTGGGAGAGGAATTACTCCAATGTCTCTAAGAGTCTCTGAACAGCACAAACAATTCAAGGTACAAAAATCCACAGAGATCTCACACAGCATTCTATACAAGTGTTATTGCATGTGACTGATCAATTGGAATAAACTGAAATAAAATGGAAACATGAACATCTATTTCCCAAGAACGTGACACGTGGGATTAACAGCTGGGAGGGCTGGTTTCTTTGCCTATCATTTAAGTCTCAGAACATCTGTATAGTTCACAGAGAATAGTAGCATCTGTAGAGCTACCAAAGAACAACAGTAGCTATGACAAACACTGCATTAAACTCTGACTGAAAACTCTCAAGAAACACATGGAAAGCATGGCCCTTCTAAAGGCCACTTCTAAAGCAGCTTTAAGTCTCAGCTTCAACCTGCTGAAACCCCAGAAGTCTTCAGGCACAAACTCTAAAGGCAACAGAGTCTCAAAATATCTGAAGCTGCTGCTGTCACTTGGTATTACTGTTATTTCTGAGGAGAATCTCTACCAAGCATACTAGCCTCACCTTCAAAAATTTGGAATTTTGGTCCTCCAACAGTAGGATCTCTTCTTCCATCTTCTTGATCTTAGCTTCAGCTGTCACTTTTTCAAGCTGCAGCTTCTGCCTAGCTCCCTCCTCCTCATCCAGCTGTTCCTCTAGGTCCTGGGAAGAGAGGCAATTGCATGTGTGTATTTTCCAGGTTACCTATGTGTTAATATTTTTCTTCTTTTACTTAGTGGAAAAAATACATTATTTTGAAAAAAAAAAAACAGTTGCCCCAAATAAAACTAAAAAAATACTTTTACTTTGTCAGATTCATCTACACTATCAATAAGCTGGTAATGAAATTAAGTGTCATGTGACACGTGGAATTTTTTACACTCTGTATTTTAGGTTTGGCTGAAATATGCTGCCTAGGAAATGTACACTCATTCCACCACAATCTTTCACCTACCTAATTCTTCACATACAATAAAAATCTACCACAGAGGGAAATGGGACCCAGCACTATTTAATTATAACCAAGATAGGTTGGGCTGCATGTCAACAACTTCCTAGGATACTGCATCCAAATGGGGTATAAAAGCATACGTGGTGGGGAAAAGATGCCACAGGATAACAGTCCCTGATTTCTATTTGAATCTAGAGCTCAATTCTACAACTGGAATGGCTTTGAGATTGGCAGAAGTACCTAGATACCAGCAGAAATGTAGTGATGTACTGTGCTTCTGCTCATTCACGGATACTTACTAAAAGGCATCAAGAGCCACGGGAGGTGAGGTTTGTCTCTCCACCAAGTACTCTGCTGAAAGACAGTTAAGCTCTTGGGGAAACCCTCAGTCAGTAAAGGTTTTAAAGGCCCCAGATGTTCAAAAGGAAACATCTAACTCATCTTCAAAAATTTCAGAAAAAACAAGCAACTCAAAGGAGATGAAGCTGTCTTTCTTTCATTGAAGCTAAAGGATTTTCACTACATTTATGTTGAAAAGAAACATTTCCCTTAAAATTGATATCATCCCATCAGCCTCTAGAAGAAAGCAGGCAAGCAGCCATTGCAGCTTCCTGCTCACTCAGGAAGTGCTTGCTGCCATTAATCCTCCATCTGAATATGCAGTAAATCCAACATTGCATTTTTTACATTTCTCCTTCTTTCCTCACTCTCATACTTCTGGAATACACAGAAAGCTAAACAGACTGAAGACAGTAAGAAGAAAGAAAGAATCAAATTGGCTGTATTCCATATGTGGTGCTAAGGATCTAACTTCCTCCACACTGTGGAGATGGTAAGCAAGCATTCCCATCCTTTTAACTGTTCTGTTTGCATTCTTTTCCATTTCCAGTTACCAAGAAGCATACCTGAATATGGCCCTGCATTTTCTTTTTCTCATTCTGCAATATTTGATTTCTTTCTTCTTCCTCTTCAACCCTGGATTCCAAGTCATGGAGAATTTCTTCCAACTCTTGTTTTTTGGCAGCCAAGCGAGCCCTCATCTCCTCAGCTTCTGCAAACAGCTCCGTCTCAGCCTGTAGCTGCTCTGCAAGAATGTTCTTTTCTTCTAGGAGCTGCAAATATTAAGGAAAAAGTAGTAGAGTAGTAGCAACTTAACATTCTGAAGTCTTTCATGAGAGACTACAGACAAATGGCAACTACAGAGTTACCTAAACGTCAACTTCTGCTCCAGCTCAAGACTCCCTGGTCCACATGCAAAAATGAACATCTCTAGCACAGGGTTCAGCACAGTCCAGAAGGCACCAACTCTAGAAGCAGCACTACAGCAATATTCACTCATTTGTGTCCCTGTCAGACCCCAGCAGGGCACCTGCACCACTTGCTTTGTTCTACTAGTGGCACAAAGAGGAGGGAAGTACCTGTTTTCCAGGACTGCCCTTGCAGTAGCAGAGCAGTGTTTGAACTGGTATTTGCAGTCACTGTGTAAACTCAAGAACATGAATTAACATTCCCCCATTCAAGATATCCAAACCACAGTAATATCATGCCTCAAATGACAGTGATAAATACAGGTCTGTCTTCAGTGACATACTTCTTCAGCTGTTCTTCAATTTGGTATCAGTCTTACCAAAAATTCATTTTCAGCTTTGCCCAGCTACTGCCATAATTGTTTCCCTATGCCTTAAGCAGCACTGGCACACGATGGAAGTATCTCACCCCAAAAACATATCTGAAGATAAAAAAGCTGCTGCTGCTACTGAGGTTTTCCAAAAACCAGGAAATAACAACAGAACTACTTTTTTTTTTTTTTTTTTAAATATGCTGTCTCTATTCCTGAAGAAATGCTTTCCTTTTATCTTCCTCTTTCAGCTTTTAGTCAAGCATTAAGAAAACAGTTAGCTTGCCTGATAAGAACAGAGCTTTGATCACAGATGCCTCCCTCACCCAGAAGGTAGTGCAATACAAATTCCATATCCTAAAAGCTGACTGGGGCACAAACCTGTTGATGTTTCCTTTCCATTTCCTCAAGTTCTGCTTCCACTTTTGTCTGTTTTTCTTTAACCTTCATTAATTCTTCATCCTTGGCTTGAAGTTCCTCTTCCTGGCGAGTCACCTGGAGAAGAGGCTTCACCTATAAAGATTCAGAATGAACACGTGAGAATCTGCATTCACGTATTTACTTAAGTCAGAGAAAGTGACAGAACATAACAAACCTTTGTGAAGACTCTCCACCACTGCCAGTGCCTAAGCTTTAAATATGCAGCACAATTCCTCTGCAGGATTTTCAGTGCACTCAGTTGCTGTTGTTTTTTTGCAAAGGCCCTGAAGACAGAGAAAGAAAAACATTTAATGTTAAATACAGCTAAGTAAAGCATCTGTCAAGGGCTCTGCTTGCTTGTTTTAAAGGTTACCCAACCCCTGAACACTTGTAGACCATAAAAGGTTTATTTTTGAGTTTGGGTGACTATGTGACTTACGAGTATTCATTCCTTATATTAAAAAGGCTAGGAAAGAGCTGGAGTCACTGCTTTCAGAACAATAATAATAAAAGCTGTTTGTTCTTACTGTTAAGAGACTTCGTCCTCAAAAAGACAAAATAAGTGTGAATTAAACAATGAACCTTCCTTTAACTTAAAAATAAAAACAGCTTTCCAAGGTACTTCTGAGAACCTATGGAGCAGGAGGAGAGATTTTTGCAGTCACTACCTACACTGTAAACAGCTACATGCGTCACGCAGGTAAGGTTAAGAAAAGGAGCTATTGTTAGAATGGATAGGTAAAAGTGACCTATTTGCCTTGGCCATAACTACAATATTTTAAGCAATATGCTTTCTTAAGAAAAATCCTCAGATGGAAATGCTGAAGCCCAGCTCCCTAACAAAGAGGCTTAAGATGACCACAAGAAAATCCAGTCTCAAAAGCACACGTACTTTCTGGCCAGGTATCCTCTGCAGACTGCCTGGAAGAAGATGATAATGTCTGTGATCTTCAGGTCTCGTTCTTCCTCTAAATGTGCCAAGACACCAGCTCGGAAAAAGATCTTGCTCTGTCCAATTCTGTATAAGTTGGGGTCCAGCTCCAAGGCTCTGATCTAAATGGACAGGAATGTACATCATTTTTACATTAAGAACAATTTTTTTTGTTTCAACTTTTCAATGTTTTAACAATATTCAGGCATAAACACTTACCATGCGCTCACAGGCTTGCTTGCCATCCATAAAACCTTTTGGAATTGCATTGGGAGTAAGGATCTCATACCTTTAAGGCAAAAAAAAAAAAAAGATCTTTACGTTCACCAATAACCAATAACATTTTTATAAAGCCATAAGGCTGCAGTCAACAAGTGTGTGGCAAAGGAGATTCTCCAGATATGCAGTTTAGGTTGCTCTCACTTTTGTATTCTCTTTAGAGTAAGCCTGTAGCATTTAAGTTCAAACCACTTCAGAAGAAGTGTTTTGGATTTTGTTCCAGCTTTGTTTTGTTGTTTTTTTTGTTGTTCCCCCCACCTTCAATTATTTAAGAAGGAACTTCTAAATCTTAAAAAATAAAAACCTCAGCAGATTGTACATATTATTACCTCTGTCTAAATTCCTGGAACACTATCCTGTTTGGAAATCCTTGTCGACAAATCCTTATTCCTTCCAAAACACCATTGCAACGAAGCTGATCTAGAACAAGGTGTGGATCTAATTTTCCAGCCTGGATAAACAAAACAAGCATGATTTTTACACTTTAATTTCTATTCATGAAAAAGTGCAGTTTAAATTTCTCAGCCAACTATCTAAATGAGGGATGTATTGGGAATAGCGAGAAGATATTTCTTCACAGAACCAAGGAGATAGGGTTGGAAAGGACTTTAAAGACCATCTAATTCCAACTTCCTTGCCATGGGGCAAGGATGGGACATCTCCCACTTGGTCAGGTTGCCCAAAGCATATTTGGTCAGTGTGGAAAGCTTTTCAAAGCCTGGCTTCTGGTTTCAAAGAGAAGATGAGGACAGCGTGAATAAATCCAGCGCTAATAAAGAAAAAGAATTCAAGGAGTGGATGGAGCACAAACCCTCTTTTCGTGATTTGGAATGATGCAGCGAACAAAATTGGGATTGGTGTTTCGGAGCGTTGCCATCAGCTTGGTGAGAGATTCTTTGTACAGCTGCCCAACAGTACGAAACATGCCCTTCTTGGTCTTGTACGCAGAGCCAAAAGCAGTCTCTGTTATTCCAGTGACCTGATCCAGACCCACGATACGATCCACTGGGAAGGAAAAGAGAAAATAATGAAGTGAACCTTAATATTTGTCAGGTATAAAGAGATGCGAAGAGAGAAGAGCAATAGTGCAGCAGCAAAAGCTTTGTGGGACAAATGACAGGAGATGCCACCAGTAGGCAAGGCAGTCAGCATGTACCAGGGACGTTGTGCAGAAGCAGTGGAACCAGAAGCCACAAGCTTATACAGCAGAGTAGTGTAGCTTTAGTAGGAACCTACTAAAACATCCAGCTCTTTACTTGCAGTTCTACATGACCAGTAAACACGTATCCTGAACATTTAGAAGAGAGACTGTTGCCTAGGAACTGGAAATTATCAGAGTTCTTACAGCAGGAAGTATTTCTGGGTTGAGCAGTTGGAATTAGTTATCTGGGCATATCTGTTTAAAATGAAGTCAGATAACTGTATTTCTTAAACACGAGTATCACTGAATACTCGAAGAAGAGAAAGGAATGACTTACAGAAGAGATGGAAATAGTACTATTTCAGTGACAAGAGGGGGGAAAAAGCCTATCTGCTAGACTTTCAGTAGTGAGCAATTTTGAATAATTCTTTCAATTTTTATATATATCTGAAAAGATTTCCCTTGCCAAAAGAGCACTTTAAACACAGGAAAACTGCACAGCAGAGCACCTCAAAGCTGCCATGAAGCATCAGAGTAGAGACGACTCTTTTCTTTGATTTTGAAACATTTTGGGTGAGGATCTCTCTGTTTCTGGTTTCTTTTGTTTGGGTGTTTTGCTTGTTTGTTCCTTTTGAAAATGGCAAATCTGACTGCCAGCAGAAAGAACTTATGGCCGAAATATGAACAAAAACAGGATTCCACATTCATGTCAACAATCAGTTCAACAGTTTGCCTCAGAAGTAGAAAAGGGTGGTCCTTAGTGCTGAGCAGAAACACACAATGTGTTGGTTCTCCAGAAAATACAAGTTGGCCAGCCAGAAAGAAGCAGCTTTATCTAGGCTTTACATTTTTGTTGGGTTATCTTCACATTCACTCAAAACAAACCAAAGGGAATTGCTACCAGAATTAGTTTTGTATGTATGAATCAGTATTTACAGTATTTTGTTTCATACTTAAACCCATCTGGTTTTCAAAGGTCTTTACAAAGCTGGAAAATTAAGGGCTGAAACATACAGGACAACAAGTTTGAATAACCACTTGCAAGTCTCATGTAGTACAGAGCCCAGATCTTCCACAGGCAGTTGGAAATGCAAGAACCGAAGGAGCTTATTAAAGTTAAGAGCAAGTAGGTGGCAAATTGTCCATAAGATCACATCCCAAATGTGTGTTCTACATCAGAAGTGGGAGAGAAATTACTGGGAAGCAGCCTTACAGAAGATGAACACATCAGCTTAATTTATAATATATCAGAATCGATCACCCAACAGACACCACTGATGACTGGACACCACTCAGCTTTTGGCACCTCTAAGGCACTGGGCTGTTTTAAAGTTTTGCAAATATATCATGACACTGTGCATCTTCTTTGGTCTCTGACCAACTATACTAAGGCTGCTCATCTTTACAGAAGCAGTACTAAAGTTACATCTCAATTTAGGTCAAGAGCAGTTATTAACAGCACAACTGGGATCACCCACAGACTAAGGCTTCTCAACTCTCACTGTCTAGTAATTGTCTTAGGAAATATCACTCTCCTCCTAAAGCATGTAGTGTATAGAAAACAGTGGGCTCTGAGTAAAAATGGTAAAGCTTGAATGCACAGATTTAACATGCTTCAAAACTTGGCAACAGGAACAAGGGAAGGATGAGGAAGAGGCTGGATTAAATACTTATAATTTTTTTTTTTTTTTTTTTTTAAGAATGGTTTGATTTCAGTACCTTGGGAAAAAAGAAAAAGTCTGCAACTTCAAGAAAGTGAAACATTTAAAAAAGTTTTTAATAAAAGGACAATCCCATCAAATCTAAAAGAACCTTTTCATTTACTACCACCACTGCAGCACTCTATTTTATGAGATCCTTCACCTCGCCTCCACGAAGACACATCTACATCCTACAGCTTTTCAGACTTTTGTCAATGTTGGACTGCAGAAAGAAGCTTGATAGTGTCATATAGCTTATGCATTGTCTCAAATACTTGGAGCTACCAGAATTATTATTTAAGCAGCAATTCTGCATCTCAACATAGAACCAGGAAGCAACAAACCTTCTCATCTGCAATGCATAAAATATAGATGCTATATGTATGCAGCAGCAACTGAATAGGTATGCACTCAGAACATTGGCCTGGTGGAGGTATACCTAAATACAGCATGAAATGAAAAAGTTCATGCAAGCCTACGAGCAAGAATGGTTTTCCTGTAGATACAACAGCCCTGCCTTTAGTAGGCCTACGGTTTTACATCCATTCACCTGGTGGATCATGAAGACCAGTAATATTGTCATAGAAACAGGCTCTCTGAATATTCTGAATCTCTAAGGCAGAGAAACAGCAAAAACAGAAAGACAGAAGAGCAGATATATAAGACACTTCAGTTAGTATACAGAACAGGTTCATCAATTGCAAGCAGACTTAATCGTGCTACAAAGGCTATTAGGCCACAATATATTCCATGCACATTTCAATTATCTGTGGAAGCAGGTTTTGAATATCTGGACCCAAACACTTGTTTTTATGCATGTACTCAAAAGGAAAGAAATAGACCCTCAATCAAAAAGTTCTTTATATATATTCATTGTAACACCTCTTTGCAGCTGAGCCAAGCCAGTATTCCTGAGAAGATGGAAATCCAGAATAAACCTACAGCATCATCTATATTACAAGCTTGATTTTCTTCCTGCAGTAAGAAACTATACACAGTATGTCATAAGTATATTGTTATTAATACACTGTGATGTTAGTAACTACAGGAGTCCCTGCTCAGTATTTATTTGGCCATTTCTAGGATTATTTCGGTGAAAACAGCAAGAAATACTTTAAGCTAAAGTGCACATAAAACTATCTAAACAGCAATGTGCAGTTAAGTAGGAAAAATATTGTGTTTGATTTTAATATGCAATATGTAGCACTAGCATGACTGCTAATGGATTTTATTGTAGGGAATGCAGTTTTCCATGGTATTACTCACCACTGCACTGTGCTGGTGCTCGTATAAGATGAGATACTTTGTTAACAGCAAGTACTACTACAATTGTTTATATACAGAACTTCAAAGCAGCAAGTCAAATTAAGTTTTGGATGTGCTATTACAGATAAAATTTGACACAGGTTAAAAAGTAGTGAGTATCTGTTCAAATAATGAATATGAGAAGCAGCTACTCAGAAATGGGATATGTGCACGGGACCATATGAGCCACTCAGCTTCTTCTGTACTTCTGGTACTAAACAGAGAAAACGTTGTAGATATTTACAACATACAGATGGAGTGTAAGGGGATCACAGGCACAAAAACAGATAACTCATCCACAAGAAGTGTCTAACAACTTGTGTACTCAGAGCACCATCTCTTACCATCCTTCCAAAGCTCTGCAACAAATTTGTCAGAAGACTGGTGCAGGAGCGTAGCCACGTTGTCATTCAGTGGGTCCATGTTCTTCATCAACCACTCGTCTGCCTTGTAGTCTACCTGCAGAGCAGCCAAATTGTATATATCACAATGTATTCTCTTTAGTCTCTTTTTCATTTACTTTAGATAAATGTTTCAAGAGTAAACTAAGAACGTGCTGAAAAATGAGTATTTTTACTGTGCCTATGACAGTTCTACATAAACCCTTTCATCGTAGTATTTCTCGCAGGAAAAGATATTTTACAAATAATTTCAGCTTTGAAGGACGTATATATGCTGGCTGATAACTGAGAAATGCCTTCTATCCCAGAAGGATGATGCAATGCAGTGTCAGTATCACAGAAACACCCACTCAGTGTGACAGAGCTAAACTCCTCTGCAGAAGAATTACTTCCCTGTAGTCAGGTACAAAGATGTTTTACTTCATTTTGATTACCTAAAGGTAATATTTCATTTCACAGCTCATTTACTATTAGCTGCAGTAATTGATGATTTGATCGTTTCTAAGCTAATATTTTAGATATTGGTACAACACATTCAATTTCTTTATTTCACTTTTTACTGTAATTATCTAGTTGGCTGCAGTGACATCAAACAGATAATAACAGCTATTAATACTTTATTTAAAGGATAGTTCAATTCACATAGTTAGTTTCTTCTAAATTAAAGCAAAAAACCAGTACTAGGACTAAGCTTAGCTAATCATGAATTTGCTTACAAGCATGGCCTTATAGTGCAGACATTATGATCATGAAGGTTCTACAAAATGCTGTCAAGAATTGAGCGGTTACTCCATGGACCTGTTCACACTGCTTCTGAGCTCCATCCATCAGGAGAAATATAAAGACTGAATCAACAGTAAAGATAAAGGCATCAGCCTAGTTATAAAGAGGGATACACAAAGCCTTCTACTGAATGGAGGGAACACAAGCACTGGCATAGCCTCAAAGCACTTCTATCAACTTGCAAACAGATATTCAGAATAGATTCCTCTTAACCTTGAGGAAACTCACCTTTAAGAACTGGCAGCAAAATTAAAGGGAACTGAAATTTTAACTTTAATATGAATATATATCACTTCTATGTGTTGTTGGTAACAACAGTTCCATCAGAGCACTTCTGAACATGCCCAAGGAAATAAAACGAGGCCACCTTCCTGCACAAGTATTTCTTAAATTAGGTACCTACACCTCAGATTAGTTCCCCCAAATGAACATTTCTAACCAAGTACTCAACATCAGTCTCTTACCTTCCCTGCATAATGAATAATGCAGAAATCTGCTTTGTCCTTCAGCTGTCTTGGCTTTTGGAATTTGGAGTGGGTTCCTTGCTCTTGGACCAATTTTTCCACAAATGTTTTGTCAGTAGCTTTAGGAAACCAGCATTCTTCATCCAACAGCGCCAACACACCGGGAGGATTTGCCTGAAATACAGATGGATTCATGTCAATATTTAGATATATATTACATGTTTATTTTCTTAATATTTTGCATTTTAAACACCCCACTGAATGCTGCAATAAAAAGTTGTCTAGCTGATTCACACTTGATTTAAATTAAAGCAAACTGTGAGGGAATCTAATTCCATGAAGACATTGTGACTGGTTCCATCCATTCATTCCAAAGGAGATGTGCTCAGAAATAGCTGACATGACCTAGTGATGACCAAAGCCTTGTTTTCAGCAGAGCCTGGAATAGATGACCTCCAGAGCTCCATACCAAACATCTCTGCAACATGTATGTACACAGCAGCACGCTCATTATTTCTACAGCAGTTACTGTCGTGCATTAATGTGGGCAAAACTGCAGATCATTATCCCCCAAGGGCACTCAATACTCCTGGGGCAGCCACCACACCAACCCCTGTGCTGATATGCAGTAGCAGCACCCAGAATGACCCAGCAGGCTTAGGTTTCGCAGCAGCTTTGTACACTGCTCGAGGGTTTGCTTGTTCTTAAAAATGAAGTAGGGAAGAGAACCAACACCTGCACTGTACAGCTGCAGAAATGCTTGACAGAATCGGGGAAGACAGAGTGATGTACACAGGAATGCAGTGGAAAAACTGGTCATAAATATTTGTATTTCTAAAGCATCTAATGAACACAAAGCTTACATATTTGAAAAGGTGTTTATATTTACCTACATCATGACATAAAATATTTCAGGTGCCAAAAAATTAGGACTGTACCAACCATTTGCTTTAAGAGTTACTTCTTGTAACTCAGTGTACTTTAGGATATTCACTTAAACATCTGCAATACTGAAAACACTCTCCAGTCTTTCTGGAAGATATTTTACCTTCCAAGGAGACAAAACTTTCCAAAGTTTTGCATTTCAAGAGCAGAATTTTCATAACTGAAACGAGACTTCCCTTCTCCTACTCCAACACAAAAAGAACAAAACGAAACAGCACCGAACAAGAGCACAGCTCTTCTCTTCATGGTGCACTGAATTGTTAGCAGTAATGATTTTGTGCATCCTAGACACACAGCTGAACGTACAGAACAGTAACCATAATGCCGTAGTGTTAATTAAAAAGTTCAAAATAATTTTGATGGCTTACTTCTAATGTGTAAAGAGAGAAAACCTTCTAGGAATGGTGATCTTTGTTACCCCTGCCCACTCCTGAAACCAGCTGTTTCTTGTGCTTTAAAGTCTTCAGCTTCCATATATTGGGCAACCAGAATAGAAAAATACTGTGGTAACACAACCTTTAAAATACTGCTGAACTATTTACAGAGCCTTAAGTCCTGAAAAGCCTTCTAACCAATTCACAGTAAAGCTTCTATAATGGTTTAGCATGAAAGTGACAGGACTGAAGTTTTTGTTAGTATAAGGGAAAGAGTATAAAAATAGCTTAATACCACAGTGCTCTATGCTGACATCAGGGCAAAATCCTTTCAGCATAAATCCTTTTACTAATACATGGTATTTTAGTCTTTGGACCACATCATTCAAGTTAACTTGTTTTCTGCAACTGCTATTTTAAATATCTCTGCATAAATTTGCAGGCATTAAACAACAAACCCTCAGGTTGAACCTCTTTGTCTTAGAGTATTTTTACAAACTCACAGGTCTTTCGATTAAGTCAATGCAAGGCTGCAGATCCAGTCCAAAGTCAATGAAATTCCACTCTATGCCCTCTCGTTGGTACTCCTCCTGCTCCAGGATAAACATCGTGTGATTGAACAACTGCTGAAGCTTCTCATTGGTGTAGTTGATGCAGAGCTGCTCAAAGGAGTTCAGCTGCAAAAAGAGCATTAGGAAGCAATGTTAATTCAGTGTCAATATTTATCATGTTTGGAAGTAAAAATGGAAATCAATTCATAAGGCAATTCCCCCAAACTGCAACATTCAAGTGTGTTGTAGAGACAAGTGGAAAAAGGATTACTCACATATGAAAGTAGCACGTCATAGGAAAAACAATTGTAGAACCATCACATACAGAAAATGGTTTAGACCAGAGCATGACTTCCTGGCACTATCATTCAGGTTATCAGAGCACTCAGTGATACAAAACACAAAGCCCTCCTGCAGCCTTGGAACATCCATGCATTAAGAGGTTCTACAATTAAGCCTGAATGCACAGCAACATGGAGAGGAAAAGAAAGTCTGGTTAGAGTTGTAAAGTACCTCAAAGATCTCAAATCCAGCAATATCCAGAATCCCAATAAAAGATGCTCCCTGTCGTTTGGTCCTGTCCAAAGCTTTGTTAATGCGGTGAACGAGCCAGCGGAAGAGGCGTTCATAGGTGGCTTTTGCCAAAGCTTCCACTGCAAAGTCTGCCTGAAAATTCAAACAGGAAGATTTATTTACTCTGGAAAAGTCATCAGAAGAACACAGACATGGATGTTACCAAGGATAACTGAGTAACAAAAGAAGTTTAATGGAGTTAATACCACTGAGGAATGAAAACAAGCAGCAGGTTTCTGCAAAGTTACTGAGATGTCATTTTTAACTGTTGCATAAAAAGCTCTATGCATTTGATAAGAACAACTAAGTGAAATAATGAAACCAGCAGAAGGCCAAGGAAAAGGAAGATTTTCCTCATACTCTCCTACAGACTTCTACCACGTAACAACATTTAATGAAAACTAAATTTAAATTTGGAGGCAGTACACTTTTAACCTTGACTTTCTTTATTAAAAGCTAATCAGGATGGGGTACTCTGTCACTTAATTTTCAATACCCAAACTTACTTGTTCTTTGGTCTGGGCTTTCTGAACATAGTCTCTGCCAACCTTGATGCGTGGTGTCAGAATGGCCCGGGTGAATTCCATAACATTCATTCCCAGTAGATGGCAGAGTTTCTGTGCGACTGGATAGAAAAGTAATAAATGTAAGCACTTAAGTCCTGCACAGCAGCCAGCAACATGGGTGAAGCAAGCTACTGAATAAAGGCATTCAATGAGCTGACTTAAAAACTGAACAGCTGTTCAAAGTAGTTGTCAGGGAGATGCACTTCTTTTGGGGACAGGCCTACCTGACTGCAAAGCCCATGTCCGCAGGACTTAAAAAGCTGATACAAGTGGCTACAGAAGGACCCCACTGACTTCCCTTCAGGAAATGTGAAAAATGCTAGATCTCAAGAAATTGCAGCAGACCACTGCCTACAGACACATCTTCGTGTCTTTAGTGGAAACACTTTCACCTCCAGAAACAAAAACCAGAAACAGCATGATGTCACATGTCAGCTCCATCTTATTAAAGGTCACCTATAAACCTCTTCTTCAGTTTAGACAGGTGTCAGCACAAAGCTATGCATGTTTGTATTACAGTCTGTATCAAACACATTGTACAACGTATTACACGCTCGTGTTTTGAACTGAGGTTAATGCAAACAGCAGCTCACTTTTAGACAGCAAAAACTCCTGATGTCATGCTTGTTATTTGACATTATGCATTACTCACGCCATCAGTACATATTTTTGTCGCATCAATCCTTTTTCCAAATAACCTTTCCAACAGGTTAGGTGCTTATGATTCCAGATTTCTAAAAATGAAGTTGACACTGCAGATATTTTTAGGCCTGGGTAAGTGCTGCCCTTCAGCAGGGAGCCCTCCACACCCTGTCCAGAAAGTTATTTCAAACCCTCAGCTTTCTAATCTGTCAGCTCATTGATTTATTGTAGAAATAAAAAAAGCTGTTTTTATAAATCCTCATTAAAAAGTTGATCTTGATACCAACACACAAAAGCTTCCTCTATATTTTTCTTTAAGTGGCATTCAAAACACTGCTTCCTTCAAAAGATTCTGCCTGCCCCTATGTGACAAATTAATACCAGCACAACTACGGTGAAATTCACATGGCACCACAAACAGCACTGCCTTCACTTTAGCTGCATGCGTGGACATTTGTCAGGTATGACATGCCCTGAGAGAAGCCATATTGGTGACAGCCAACACTGCTTCCTTAAGGGAAATCATGTCTGAGATCTGCTGGTGTTCCATAGTGGTGTTATGGCACTGGAAGATAAGGGGTATGGATCTACCTGGATTTGTGCAACGTTTGATGCTGTGCTGCACGACATCCCTGTCCCTAACGTGGAGAGGCATGGAAATGATGCACAGTTCACTTGGTGGACAAGGAATAGGCAGGAGGGTTGAACTCAAAGCATTGCAGTCAACTGCTTGACATCCAGGTGGAAACCCACTGACAAGTAGATCAGCACTATTTATCACCTTTATCAATGACACTGACAATGACACTGGGTAAAATTTTCCACTTTTTTTTCCCTAAATGCAAGTTGCTTCACCACCCACACAATTGTCTTCCCGACCTTTTCAAGACACACCTAAACTTAGCACCATCAATTCTCTGCAGTGCACAAAGGAAACCCATCAGTGAGATGTGACAATGCAGATGACAAGCAGGTAAAGATCAGATTCAGAAAGTGCCTTCAAAAAGACATGGTAAAAATCACCAAGTAGACCAACACAGCACTTTTTAAATGCAAGACAAAAGCAAGATGCTTCAACTGTGAGTTGAGCTTCTCAGCATTTTGTCTTTTAAATTCAGAATTTTATATCCAGTGTTACAACTGCTCAAACAGTATAAATATATCAAAATTCTTAAGTACAATATTGGATATAATGTCCAAAATTGATAGTAATAAGGCAAAAGTGAAGATGGTCAGGAAGTAAGAAACATTTATTTCTTTTGTATATTCCATTTTTTTAAATGGAAAAAAAAACCTCCATTGAGTTGCCTCAGCCCAAAAACCAATCCCACACCCAACCTTCTTTTTTTCCCTGAAAAACCCCAAATGCAAACTGCCAGCCAAATGTCGAGTCAATGATTACCAAGCTTTAATCCATACCTGCCTGCTGGAATACTTTGGGCAGAAGGCCACTGCTGGGAAATGACAAAAGTTTTGGACACCACAAGCAACATGCAGGCACAGCAAATTAGGGCAATTATGAAACAAGATGGACGAGAATTTGAGTTGTGTGTTTGCAGCAGGTCTTGTGAATTATTCTTCCTGCTCTGTGCATTGAAGGCAGCTCTCAAAGTTGACTTTCCATCACAGCTTTTAGAAGGCCAAAATTTAAGCACTAAGTTAAAAATCTGAAAACCATTTCAGCAGCTTAGTGGAGGAAGAATTCCTGAAAATGCTGATTGCGTTACATTGAAGGTACTAAATGAGAAATTCATTTTTAGTCACACTACCACACCACTTTAGAAACCAGATTTTCTCAAACAAAGCATTCTTATGTTCCACCATTTCACTATGGAAGTTGTGCTTGGCTCAAGGGTTCTTATCATTGGCAAGAAAACTGCTGTCAAGAACCAAAGAAAACAACTCGATTTAAGCACGCACTTTCTCCTAGTGCTTAAATCTTTGTAGATAGCAATAAACAAGACTAGAACTGAAATACTTACCCAAAGTTTAAAAGCAATGCAAACAACATAAATTCTGTTGATGGATACCTAAATTTGTCTGTATTACAAAAATGGAAGAGAATTTTACTAATTGCCTCTTGGCTACCACCATCACTATCATGGCCTCTTTTTGGCACAAAACTTCAACAAGGAAGCTCAGAAGACTGTTCTGTATTTTCAAGAGATATGTACTAACAAATGATAGGAAGAAAACCCTAGTTCAAGTTAATGGAAGCCAAACAACTGCAATCCACTTACCAGTGTTCTCTGGCATAGAAGCTTGATCAGTATTTCTCTCCTTCTTAAAGGAAATATTTCCAAACTGTAGCACTGAAGACACCACTTTCAGCATTGCTGTGTTAACAAAGACATACAAACCAGTTTATTGAAAAGGGCTCAGCTTCACAATTTTTTCTTCTCTTACTTAAGACACTTTCCTTCCAAAGTTGAAGTACAAGTTCAAAAAGGAAATGAAGCTTGTACTACACTTTTTAGGCAAATGGTTTTCACTCAGCTGTAAGCTTATGTTCAGCAAATACTTGCTGCAGGCTGTCAAGATACTGAAGCAATGTTAAATTAGGTGACTCTAATGTAGTGAGTGTATGCACAAGAAAAAAGTACACTTCAAAAATGCAAGAGGTTTAACTTACACAAGATCTCATCGTGTGAAAAGCCCATGATATGCATTGCTTCCATTGTCTCCTGAAAGTTATCCTTGTCTTGTTGCCCAGGAATGGGGATGTAGCCATTGGATAAAAATCTGTAATTGTTAAATCCTTCAAGCAGCAAGTCAGCTGTATTGGGGGGAAGGAGAAGAGAAGAACAAGCTAAATAACTGCTATTCACACCCACTTGCACTCTGCTTTCACTAGAGATATAACCCATGCTTTACAAATAAATAAAGTTCCTCAGATATGACTGCAAGTCATCATACTATCTTAGTAATTCATTATTCTTAAAACTCTAAACATGAGTGTACTCTAAAAGCAGAAGCAAGAATCCCAGAATTTCTATCTGTAGCAGCCTACACTAGCTCTGTAATGCATTATGCCTGTAAAAAGAACATTACCTTACTCAGGTCTACCATAATGATGAATTCCCATTTAAAGTATCCTAAAACAAGCGTCTCTATTGAAAAGGAACAGATACTGGCAGAAGTGGAGCTTGGTATTGATGATAACCACATCCAAAATCTCAAACACAAATTTTTCTCGTACAGAAGGAGTGGATCAATTCTCAGAAGTCTGTATTTTCATACAGCCTCATTTCTCACAGCCTAGCAGGAATTCCCGGGTACCAAAGAAAAAGATGACCAACGTAGTACTGCAAAGGGTGGAGAAAGCCTCGGGGTTTCGTTATATTTTTGCAAAATGGCTGCTGTTCTCCCCAGTTAGAAGGAGCTGCCTGGAATGGGTCTGGCCGTCACTGCCAGCAGGATTCATTATTAATCAGCGAGAAGTGCTGCAGTTTCACTCCAGTGAATCCTGGCCGGAGACCGAAGCCACCACCCTGCCCAAAGCGGACTTTGCCATGGAGCAGTCATCTGCTTGTTGCTTGACAGCATACTTGACAAAACACAGAAGTTATTTCAAAATAAAGCCACCTGGTCTTTTCCTTTCCTCTTCTTTCAAAATTCAGTTTCCAGACCAAACAATAGCTCAAGCACTATTGTGTTAACAAAAAAACAAACTCAGGATGCAGAAGAAACAGGATCAAACAGTGGGAATCTTCACTTACACTTGAGGTGCTCTCCTGCTCCAGCCAGCAGCTGGTAGAAGATATGAAATGTCCTCTCGTCTTTAGCTTGGCGAACAGCACGAGACTTCTCCAACAAGTCTGATCACAGCTAGTCAAGGAGCTTCTACATTTTTTGGTAAAAAAACATCCTGTGCAAACAGAACTCTTTCAAAGCAGGTTATGTAATTATATAAGGAGCAAAAGGGACTTTAATAGTAATGACAGGACTAAACCCAACACAAACTTTCAGTAACTCTCAATGAGAGGTTTCAAATTCAGATAGAAGCTCACATTTAATTGCAGCAAACTCATTTCTTGAATGGTGCTTGCATCTCCGTGCTGCATGCAGCTGACAACCACTGTAATGGATCAACTGGAGCCTAAGTGAGAGGGGAGCTGGTCAGCCTTCTTCAGTCATTCCTCTCTGAGGATGTCAGTGCTACTCTAAGGACAAAAACCCAGCAGCTGCTGAACTCTGAAGTACTTCAGCTGAAGTGCATTCAGCACTTCTATTAATTTCATAAGACAGCATTTTCATAAGATATTCTCCATCGCCGTTAAACACTTCAAATTTGTGCAGCAGGTAACTTCTAACAAGCTGCCACAAGCTGCTATGTTAAAGCTTTCACATTTTGATGTTCCATACTGTAAAACAAACGTGGGATATCTCACTTGAAATGTCTGACACAAAGGCAAGAAAAAAACTCCCTAAGACAAAGTCCTCCTGTCCTCAGCTCCAGGCAAAACGGTTACCTGCATTTTCATAAAAGCAGCAGCTGCCATCACTGCTGTGCTAAATATTGAACTGAGAAAGAAAATCACTCAGCATTAAACTGTATTTTCAATAACTAACTGTAGGTCTTTCCCAGCGTTACTGGGAAATCATATTTTGTGGCAATAGCAAACACACATTGCACTTCACATGAAGCAGTTAACTTGTAGGCACAGAATGAAAGCTGAGTTGTATCACTGTTTATGAATAACATTCACAGGGTATTGCTGACCAAAGCTTTTGATTTCATAATTTTATGACCATCCTGCTGCTATTTCCCCCAAAATAGTCTAAACAGGCTAAAGAAGTTTACATACACATCCTTAGCATAAACAAAACAACTTGAGAAAGGCTTTTAGTAAAAGTGTTCTCACTTGTTTTTATGCAGTCATAAATAAAAACGGGCCTTAAAGCTAAAGCTGAACTAGGCTTCAGTACTAATTGCTAGGAGGTCTTGTGTTACTGGGCCCAGCCTGGTATCCAGAAGGCCTGGGACACCAGGAGGTGACCTGGTACAACGACACCTGCAGTGCCAGGCCTGTTGCTGAGCTCCTTCCTGGCAGACAGCTGCTGAGGGCAGGGAGCACTGGGCACAGTGCTTGTGAGCTGTTTCAATTAGCAGTGCATTCCTCCACAACTGTCACAGAGTGAGAATACTCGAAATAACTTATTTAAACTTTCACATGCCCTGCTTTTAAGGCTGGCCAGAAAATCCAGCAGATTTCAGAGCATTAAACGCTGGGATATACGGTTTCTAGGCATAAGGAAGCATGCTGACTGTGATACTTGATCAGTTATTTTGAAACAAAGGAAGAGATGGACATGGTCGAATGACTGTAGAAATCGGGTAACCTTTCACTGCATTCCAATGCATTCTAATGCTGATATGACAGTAAGTAGGATACATGTCTCAATGTTGGCCCCAACAATATAACCAGTAACATCAAAGTTAATCCTAATGAACTTGCCCTGTAGAGAAAAGATATTTTTGTTAAGTACTTACTTTGGGATTATGACAACTATCTGAAAACAATGCCACTTGCACACTGGATAACAGGCACTTCACACAAGGCAAAATGAAATCTTTTCCATTCAGTGCACTCATCACTTGAAACATGTTACTGTGCACACAAACATTTTCTGAATGCTAAAGCACTAAGATTTTAGTACAAGGCAGACTTATGAAAGACTTTTTTAAGAGAGAAGCTCGGGTTCTCCCATTGACAAAACTCCTTAAGGGACAAAATCTCAGCACTGCTATCCTAAATGTACCCATCCCCACAGAACAGCAGCATCTTCAGGTACCCATGCAGGCTTTATCTGCCCACCTCAACCATCACAACTCCTCTTTTTCCACAACTAGAGTGCTTGCTATCTCCCTCCATGCTCTCTCTTCCCTAGCAGCTGTAAAGAAAGAACAGACTCCTTTCTTCAGTGTACTTCTCCTTTTCTCCACAAAGGAACAGACCATCTGGTGTACTGATGGACAGTTGGTTGAATATGAGCCAGCAGTGTGCCCAGGTGGCCAAGGCGGCCAATGGCATCCTGGCTTGGATCAGGAATGGAGTGGTGAGCAGGACTGGGGAAGTCATCCTGCCCCTGTGCTCAGCACTGGTGAGGCCTCACCTCGAGTTCTGAGTTCAGTTTTGGGCACCTCAGCACAGAAAGGACATGGAGTGCTGGAGCAGGTCCAAAGCAGGGCAACAAGGCTGGGGAAGGGCTTGGAGAACATGGCCTGTGAGGAGAGACTGAGGGAACTGGGGCTGTTCAGTCTGGGGAAAAGGAGGCTGAGGGGAGACCTTATTGCTCTCTTCCAGTACCTGAAAGGTGCTTCCAGCAGAGCAGGGCTGGTCTGTTCCCACTGGTGACAGGATGAGAGGAAATGGCCTCAAGTTGAGCCAGGGAAGCTTAGGTTGGATATCAGGACAAACTTCTTCATAGAAAGGGTTGTTAAGCACTGGAATGGGTTGCACAGGGAGGTGGTTGAGTCACCATCCCTGGATGTGTTTAAGAACCATTTGAATGTGGTGCTCAGGGACGTGGTGGGTTGTTAGCTACAGTTATATGGTTAGGTCATAGTTGGACTTGATGATGTGTAAGGTTTTCTAAGCTGAGTGATTCTATCATAGGTACGATCACACAGCACGTGCAGGTTGACCAGGGGATCAGGCCCAGCCAACGGGGGTTGATGAAGGGCAGGTCCTGTCTGACCAACCTCATCTCCTTCTGTGACCAGGTGATCCGCCTGGCGGACAGGGGAAAGGCTGTGACCTTATTGCTCCCTTACACCTCCATGACAGGAGGTTGTGGTGCAGCAGGAGCCCTCTTCTCTCAGGTAAGAATGATGGGATGAGAGGAAATGGCTTCAGTTTGTGCCAGGGGAGGTTCAGGCTGGATATTGGTAAACATTTTTTTCTGGAAGAGTGGTCAGGCTTTGGCACAGGCTGCCCAGGGAGGCAGTGCAGTCACCATCCCTGGCTGTGCTCAGGAGCCATACAGGCATGGCACTGAGGGACATGGCACTGAGGGACATGGCTTACTGGGAGTGACAGTGATGGGCTTACACTTGGATGTGATGATCTTAGAGATCTTTCTTCACCCTTAATGATTCTGTGATACAGATCACACTTCCCACACACACACTGGATCTTGGGAAGGTGGCTGTGAGCAACAGCATTACACCGGGTATCAGAGTTCAACCAAATTAAAACAGTTCAAAGCCACATCAGTAGCCCAGGCTGGTCTGCCACTCGGCCACAAATGTTCCCTACTGCCTCTGGCTTGGAGATGGACCACTTCTAAAGTACTGCTGCCATACTTATAAGTTTCTAAAGCATGAACTTTAAGTATTGCCTTGGTTGCAAACATGTGAAGAAACCAGTGGGAATATTCAGCAACCACAGCAAGATCTTTGTTTTCATCACATCCAATCTCTGTAGTCTTATCTACATAGAAACAGGCTCTGGAGCACAGGGAGCATCACGGCAATTTACTAACAGCCACCTAAGTGCATCTTTGGATGATAGCTGCAAAGAGTCACCTATTAATCTCTTGTGAAAAGAGACAGATTTCTGAAAGTTTGTTGATATGCAGCATCCAAGTCTTCACAAACCTCAGGTCTGGCAGGTTATTGCTATTGGTATGTTAAAGAATTCCTGTCTGGCAGATCTGTTTAGCTCAGGGAACATACCACTGATTTCCACACTAAAAATTCTACTCTACAAGCTTGGAGAATAGATGTATTCTACTGATGGCTTGCTGTAGTTGATGTCCTTGAAATGTATTGCCATGCTGCACTATTACAATACCTGCACACATTACCAAAGTCATTCAAATAATTACAACTTACCAGAACACCCTCAGCTTCTCAACTTTTCTGATTAAGCCCACTCATGTCAGAGACTTGCACACAAGGCTGAGCATGCTTCTCACCCAGCCACATCAGGGATCGAAAGAGACAAAAAACCAGCTGAAGCCTTACTTTCTACAGCCTGTAGTGCAGAGTTCTGAAAGCTCTCTTAAAACTGCTGGAATACTATGAATTAGCTTCAGTGCTCGCCCCTACTGCTTAACCAGCAGCGTGGTTGGGAAGTCAGTGCTGCTGGAAAGAAAGGGGCATGTTTTCAAGCATCCTGTCATGGAGTAGCACTAGAATTCAGGTTTCTGAGAATACTCTAGGCTTAACTTCAAGTAAAGCACTTAATTTTTTGTGCAGTAATAAGTCCAGAAGGCTACGTTTGTAACTGTTACAATGGGGGAACTGGCATTTTGCTGAAATACAGCCCGTTGGCTAGATGGAGTGTGTGTCAGCACCGTGTGTCAGCAGTGACAGCTGACAGCTTCACACACAAATCAATGACACAAATCCTTCTCAGAAGGACACGGCTTGAATTTGCCATGTTTCATGTGAAAGCAAACGTGAAGCACTACATCATGTCTAGTCAGTAGCTTTTTCTGGCATAATTAGCAACTGCTTTGCTCCATTTCATGCTTAGAGGTTATTTAACTTCCGATGCCAGTCCCCTTTCTATGAAAGACAGAGGAGGAGACCCACACACTGTCAGTCTTGACATTCGGCTTCCATTGAAATCTGTACTAGATGGGCCACTTATTAGCTTATCTCCCATGAAGTGAGATGTTAACATGCCCTGTAGCTCAGGCAAATCTTGCTGTGAAATCTTTAACTCATCAGCAGGATGACCACCACGACTGTCTCTAACAAACAAATTCTGTTTACACCGTCGTTATAGCACTGAAGTACACAGCTTCTTGAAAACCACATAAGTGGGAAAGCAGTGCTGGAATATGAACCCAATGAAGACCACTTTCCCATCCAATGCAACCTCCAGAAGTTATTTCCTGAAATATAGAAGAACACTGCATTTTGTCAAGGAGAGGGAAAAAGAAAATGCCTTGACACGAGCTTCATTTCAGTATTATCTGGATCATCAGGAACAGCCTGACTGAGACCATCAGGCCCATGTGTGCTGAACAACAGCAGTTCCCACTTTGTGGGAGGACACATTTTTCAAGTCGGATTTTGAAATGCCTGTTGCTAAAGATTTGATGAGTGGTTGGTTTTTTTTTTTCTTTTTTTAACATAAAGACGACACCATCTGGAGTGCATTAAACTTGTTCCTTTATAAAAAGAGAGCTGGAGCCATCTGAGCGATTATGTTCACGATGGCAGTGCAGACTTCAACATAATACAGAGCAGATGCTAACATCTTCATGAAAAAGAAGTATCTTTGTTATGTTAGTGCAGTGTTTGATGGATTCAAGCAACAGAACAAAGAATTACTGGGCAGTGAAACCTGTTGATATTATAAATCCTATCAAACATATATGAGCGTCAGCCAGTACTGCAAACAACGTGGCTATAAAGTTATCAAAAAGTTAAATTTCTGTAGTACTCTGCTCTGCCTTCTTGACTGCTAACACGAAAGGATTCAGTCATGCAACTCTCCAGAGCCCTTATCGCTTGAGCTGATTTTATACAAATAAATCCAGGCAGCCGCTGAAAGATCAAGGCAGCCAAAAATCTTTCATTTGTTCTGTAAATTTTAGTTCAGTTCTTGCGAGAGAAAAGATTTAATGCCTCCCACACAGTTTTAACGTTGCACTATAAATGACTTTTCCCCTGAAAACAGGAGACAGCTTTTTCACCCCAAATTCCACCAATGGCTTCAAAGGAACACATGAAAAGAAGTCACCCACCAGTGAAGCAGAAGGCACCAACCCACCCAAACTCACCCAGCTACAACAGTGCTCTGCTCTCAAATGTAAGCCATGCTATCTTCCTGGCTTCCCTTCAGTAAAGCAGTCAAAAGGGCATTGAAATTTAGAACAGTTTTTATATGTAAGCTTGGTGCCTTATTTTCCCTTAAGCTGAGGATATTCTCCCGAAACCAATCAACAGCTACTGTTAGGAAGGCAACATGCTCAGCCAAATCCCAGAGGTGTTTTATCATCATTCGGGAGTGATGTGTGCATGCAAGTCATAGTTCAGCTCCATGGCACAGATGTATCTGTTACACTACGAGTACCACTGGCAGTTCAAGGACAGTGGACACTACAAACTGGGTAAAATTAAACCAAGTTTTGGCAAAAGCCAATGAAGATGCATCCTCAGTGACTCCAGCACAATCCAGAAGGCATTATAACAGAATCTGAGGTCACCGAGGAAAGAAACTCTCCTGGTACCAGCTGAACTTCTAAAGAGGAATTTCTGCACAAGCAGCCATGTGGATTTACAGACTCCAACAGAAAAGGGAAGAACTCACAAAGCGGGAGGAGTTGTCGTTCTTCACCGTCTTCGCATTCCCGAAGGATTCCAGAATGGGATTTGCCTGAAGAAGCTGACGCTCCAGCTCCCCCTAAAAGCCACACAAACAGAACAGCACATGGACATGAACACAGTGCACGTGGTGAAAGCTTCCTACATCCTGCTTCTTCCTCACAGTCTCTTTACCCAGGTGGTGGCAGTGGTACCATCTTCAGGAGGAGGTTATCAGCCCTCCCCTCACTGCAGTCTCTTCCATCCAGTGAAGAACGTGCTCTGTGCTCGTTTAACACACACACAGGGGGGACTGAATAGGACTCAATGGATGTTGCAAATCATTGAAGATGGAAAACAAAAATTCACATCTAGGGCTGATGAAATTAGGCACAGACTTGAAATGCCTGAGAGGAAAAAAACTAATTAAAGATTTTTCATTCTTTAGTTATTTGACAGCATGTTCATTTTCCACACTGAATTTGAAGTTGGTGAAGTGCTCATTTCCCATCAGTCACACATTCATGTCACTGTAACATCTCTGACCTGAATGCACCTAAAAGTGTGTCACAACGGCACAGTGGGAACTGAGTAACACCAAGTGCAAAGATCATTTTCAAACTGCCCAATTCAGCCAAAATTGCAAGGAATCTTTAATGCATATTTTTTAAGTGCTTCCTTCAGCTCAAGCCAATGGATGTAGAAATCAAAGCACTTATCTTAAGGAAATTGCACAAGAGCTTTTACAATTGCTGCCCATGAGGAGCTCTGCTAACAAAAGAAGTCTGTGCTGCTTCCACAAGCCCAAGAGGCACGGATGCACAGAGGAAAGTATGACATTGTTTTCCTGCTCTAAAAGATAGTTTAAAAAATTACAAGTGAAGCTGTATCTCTCTGGAATGTAGTTTCAAAAACTGAAGTTTGTGTTCATAAACCTGCTTTTTCCAATTGTTTATAGCATAGATGAATACATGCCCCACACTGAGCATTTTGGAATGGAAACTTCAGCCTCTTTAGACCTCCACAAGGCAGATTGTCACACAGGAATTTTACAAGTTAACACCTGAGACTTTCATTTTTAATACTCAATTATATTTCAAGTCCTTCTGGAAACAAATGTCTGTTTGCCTTCTAACAGGACCTCATGTTATCTGCTCAGAACTTGGTTACATCCAAACATTCCTTTGGGGCTACATATTCTATGAACTCCAAAGGAACTGAGAAAAACTAAATGCATGCATCCCAGCCCTGACCACACTTGGGCCACAGTGCCAATGAACCACAGCTGGGGCTGACAACATCACAGCCCTTAGGAGTACTTTTAAATCAATAAAATGTGCAGTTTGAAGGAAATAAGATCACTGTTATAGCTGCTGTATGGACATAAGCAGTTCATAGTCTTAAGAGATTCCTACACAGAGGTGTCAGACAGGAAAAAGCATTTGCTGACACCATTCCTCCCATCCCCTCTCCCAACCACACTGCAGCTCCTGTTCAGACACCAAATAAAAATGAAAAGCTTGCTTACCATGCTGCACACAGCTTGAAACAAACCACACTACGTATATTAAACGCAGCAAGCATGTCACAGCTTACATTTCAAATTCTATCTATTCTGGAAAAGAAAGCACACTGACTTCAGAATTGGGCTTTTCTACAGAGCATTGCTGTGCTGCCTGAAAGCTCTGCACTCCAGAATGCTTTGACCATGCTTTTAAGTGCTTGTGTGCACCACAGCACTGATTCAGCCTTGTGCACAGGAACCCCTGCAACACATGATATCATCCTACTGGCATTCTCCAGCAGAATGCAGTAAGTTTTGTAGTGCATTTTTATGATTATCGCAGGGGGTTTGAAGGAAGCACTCAGCAGTGCCATCAGAGAGGTGAGAAGCAGTGACTGCAGCCCGGCCAGCTCTGCTGCAGTCCTTCACACGTGGACTTTCCATGGCCATTGCTATGTGCAAACCTCGCACAGTGCAGAATAGCTGCTGAAAAGAACGGTGGTAGAACATTTTAAACTGGATTTAGTGGTTTTCATTTCTAGATAGATTGCTTTAGAGTTAAAAACCTTTCTGAGGAAGCACTCAGTGCTTTGGAAAGAGTTTAAGTTTGGTCTACAGGCATATCTCCAGCATAGGCATCTAACCAGAACTTGGAAAAAGCAGTATTGAAATTGTGGAAAAAGTGAAGTCATGCAATACATCATGCAGGACAACGTTAAGATAAGGACGGATTGTTGTCTCAGTTTCAGAAACACCAGCATCCCAGTGGCTCGGGTTGTTGTGAAGACTGGGGAGCAGGGAGCTACATGCTACTCACATACAACAGGGGTCCACTCTGTAGTTCAAAATGACATCGAAACAGAGATGTTAATGATTATGGTTTATGCAATATCAACACTTCTGGATTAGCATGTTTCCACCGATACATTTCAAATGTCTGCCAACAAATAATTCAGTTCAACTGCACGCTGAGTCTAAGCTAAAGGAGAGTTAACTCAATGCTTTATTTCTGGAAGAAGGAAATTCTTCAGTAAAAAGAAAAAGCCCACAGCTTTGATTTGTCTGAGGTTTAGATGAAGGAAGGATCAGGTTAAATACGAAGAATGTCTGTAACTTCTGAAAATGAGACCACGGGGCTCCGACACATGATTGGGTTACAGAGGTTTGAGGAGTTACCACACACTGGCAAAGGCACCACCGCTGTCCGTGTGGCTTCCTGCTGCCTCCAATAAACCAAAGCTCCCTCCCCCCTTCCCCACAGGGAGTTAAGATGCACTACGGTCAGCTTTCAGAAAACAGGGGGAGAATGCAACCAGCTAACTTAACTCATGGCAGTTTCCTGAGTTACCAGGCCTCGTCTGTATCACACAGAGCCACTGCAAAGCATTCTCCTTGTTTAAAAAGCTCATGCCCGTGACAAAGAGGCATCACTTACCATCTCAGGTTAGAGACCGGAGCATGCATCTTGCATGATATGTGGGAACAAGCTCTTCTTCCCACAGTCTTACCCTCAGCTTCCATCTTATTCTCCTCTTGATGCTCAGAAGCAATGCTGCACAGCATGGGCAAGGTTGAGTTGGAGTGGGGTGGCTGCTGGCCAGGACAGGGCAGGGCAGCATGAGCCTGCAGCTCCAACCAGCCCGAGATGACAGCAGCTGGGACTCACAGCGCTAACTCAGTTGGGCAAGTACCACGGTACTCACACCACCTAGTTTGGTGAGCCATGGGGATGCTCCACTTCTGGAGTCAAACAGATACACCAAGCCCTACACACCTGAGAACTGAAGTTTTGACCAGGTTACCTGAGCAGCTATAAAAACATTCAGGGAAAATCATACGTTAACCAGAAGTATTTTGCCTCCTCCAGTGACCCCCATCCTTTATTTAGCACGAAGAACTGCTGTTCTCCCTAATGGCACACTGACTCAGTATGCAGCACCCTGGAGAAACTCAGCTCAAGAGGAGGTTACCCAGGTGCTCCAGGACAGGGACACCCACAGTGTGAGGAGCAGTGCTCTGCAATGCTCAGGAGCCTGTAAGCTCTTCACCAGCCCATGCTCTCAACAAAGCCACTTAAATAGTTACTGAAATTACTATTAGCTGTATAGAACATGGGGGAAAGCTTGTGCAGATAAATGGAAATTGACAGAAAATAGAGATGAAGGTCACCTACATAACTTTAAAAGCATAAAGAAAAACACTTGCCTGATGTTTCACGGGTTTAGGTGATTCGGGCTGTTCGTTGCAAACAAACAAACGCACATGTTAGCAAGCAAGCATTCCAGCTGCAAGTCACATCCCACATTATTCACGTCAGCAGGTTTAGTTTAACCATATACTACTCACTTCAAACTATTTGATTTTAGAAAGGGAGTTATTCACTTGCTATTGCATGCACAAAATGCTAAAACCTGTTCTTATGTAAAGAACTAATTTCAAATGCAATACAAGATGACAGAAGGACCTTGAGCAGCAACAGAAAAGGGCAAGGACATGATTTGTTTTGCTCTGTTTTCCACAGTTCCGCCAAATAAACACCCATAATACTAATTAACTATTTCTCCACAGTCCCAGTCCCTGCAAGGTGGTTTTGTATGAATGAAAGGATCATTATTCCTTACAGAATAAGGCAGGTTATGGCAGAACCTATGAGGAAAGCAATCCTTAAGATGTGTGAAGTTTTGTTAAATATTTGATGTGCAGCCCAGAAACAGATGCAGACCCTCCAACCAACACCAGGTTTGTTTCTTTCACTCAAGAGCAAGCATCAAAAGCAGCAAAATCTTAAGAAACTGAAATACCTACAAGTTTTACCAGGAAAGAGGCTATGAATGGAAAATAAACCCCCTCAGTTCAACTCTGCACAGTTCCTGCAGAAGCACACGTTTTCAGTTTTGTTATTATATTCATGACTCCATCTTTCCAAACTTAAGCTTCACAGCACAGAGCGTGAGGGGGAGAAATACTGTACAACACACATCTCCACACCAAGTCAGATACTTGGTATCCACTGTTTGCCTGTTATTTTGAAGCTCTAGAACTGCCTCAGTGCAAGAAAACAGATTTGGATAGAGTTCCTCAAAGCAGCTGCCAGAACCTCACCTCATTCAGATAAGCGGTGTGAATTCAGCAAAGCTCAATCATATCTGCTTGGAAAACAACTCTGGCATCTGAAAATAAGGTTCAATGTTGCAGTCTAAGACCAGCAGTCCTCAAACAGTGGGAAAGGACAGGCACAACACAGAGGCATTCTGCTTACTGCACTGCTCTCTCCAGGTCTCACTCCCTCACTAGGAACAGGGCTGAGCACCATCAGACAGACATTTAATTTCTCCCATTCAATTAGGGCAGTTATAGCACATCTGGGAAATCCTCATCACGGGGAGCCTCCAGCTGAGCCAGCCAACCCAAGGTCCTGTACTCCAAAACCAATTACATCTCTTCTGAAGTTAATGAAACAAATTAAACAACTTCGCATTTCACTTTCAAAGGCCAATGCAGGTAACTAAGTAATCATAGCTATTTCTGAGGCTTACAGCAGTATCAGCACGAGAGCTGGATTTTAGTGAAAATAGAGGTCTTGTATTGATTACAGGGTGAAGAAAGAAAACAGGCATTCTTTTCATCCTGGCACTATCCAGCTCTGGTTCAGATGAGTAGAAATGGAGTCAGTAGTGATGGATGTTAAGTAGTGATTAATAGAACTCGGCTACTTATTTTCAGTCTTGGTGTTACATTATCTGCTGATTACAAATACCTGACCACAAATAGGGTCCAGATCTGCCCATAGGCAGCATTCCCCAGCCCCACACAGCCTGCAGTATGTGCAAGTTAGCAGTGATCCCTGGGCAGTAAGCAGCACTTTTTTCATTCCTTTGGAAAGCTGGGTATGCAATCTACTTTATTTCTACATTTTGCAGAAACTAAACCCATGGTGTCTGTAAATCAAAGCAGAATGCAGCAGTTAGAATTAGGGCTCACTACACAATCATAGTAAAGCAGCTCTGTAACACATACATTAACACATTCCATTCTTTTTTCTTATTCCTACCCCCAGTACACTGGTGAGTGATGAGTCACAAATCCAAACAGAACTCTCCTTTTTGTCCATGTCTTCTTTCTCAATCTTTCAAAACCCTCTCTCACTAGTTTCCCACCTTACTCTAAACTGTTGCCCAACGTTGTTTTCTTCTTCTCATTTCAAATATGTCATCTCCACATCTCCTGACCATCCAGAAAAATAACTGAGAGCAAAGGAGGTGCCTGGCCCAGAGGCAGCTGAGCACAGCAGGAGATAACAGAGTGGGTCACCTCCAGGCTGAGACAGCTGAGTTAAAGCACCGTGACTCTTTGCAAGGCTGCTCCTCACATGGCACAGTTAGCAACTGAATAAACCATGAATCAGATTTACTTGCAAAGTTCTTAACATCCCCCTCTCCCACAGTCTTTCGAGGTCAAATCTGTTGAACGTGAAGCTGTAAGCTTTCAGTTGTCAACAAATACTTTCTAGCCTCCTCCCTTGCTGCACACCAACCCAGCAGCCCACGTGCCCTGTGAAGCCAACCAAGCTCACTTGGAATGATCCAGGCTCACTTCCACCCCACCTTCAGCCCACGTTTTTAGTGCTCCCTCCCTCATGTGTCTCTAGAAAGCCTACTCCATTCCTAGACAAGAGACTCGATATCATCTAGCTCAGCCACGTTCCAGTTAATGCTGCTTCTCTTCCATGGTGGACCTCACCCAACCCACTGCAGGGGCAGAGGAGAGCCTTACTGGGAAGCAAAAGCCTCACAGCCAAGTTCTGAGCACCGAACACGGCCATGCTGTGCTCCAGGTGACAGGCACAGCTCTACGTGCTGCTTCTCACGTGTGCTCCTGAGGAATGTACCTGGTGATGTAGAAATCGAAGCGTTACTCCAGTGAGACCTGAGGTGCCCAATTGGAAGCTGAGTTTTTGTAACATCTTTACAAGTCTATCTGCCAGGCTGAAGGTAACCCTAGAACAGCTCTGGGAAAATAACTACTCCTTCATCAGCGTGCAAAGTGCTTCATAAAAAAGCCATGCAGAACTCAGATATCTCACTAATAAGCGTGTCAGTAATTTGTGAGGATGGATGAAAATAAATCCCTGCCTCACAGTCTATTTAACAAGGCTATTAACATCTCCTCTGTGAGAACACAAGTGTTGTACAGAACACTACTGCAGATCACTAATGTACTTCTGCAGTTTTCAATGAACATGTCAACAGGAACAAATTGCAGCTGTGGATATAACTCCAGTTCTGATACTTCTAAACTTTTGGGTGTTAGTTGTGTAGGTTGGCTGTTGTCTGCAATAAGTAAAAATGAGTTGTTACAGAAAGGGAAATTCATTTTTGAAACTGTTTTGGTTACACAGCCTGTGTGTTTCAGAAATACTTAATTTGGTGCTTAATAAGGCACAACAGTGAATGAAGTGCACAACTTTCATTCGGGACCTATTCCTTTTTGGGGAGGTAAAACTATGTTTTGTAAGAAATAAAAGCTTCCCCAGTCTCCATCATGCCAATGATGGTTCACAAAGCAGCCAATCACAACAGCCACCTTCAGAACTCTGGGGATAAACATCACCAACCCAAACGATCTCATGGGGAGGAGCAAATTAAACTCATGGTTGAACTATGGTTTAAGCTGAATTTGCCAACACTGCCTTAAAGAAAGTAACTCACCCTTCCCTTCACTGACACATCACACCCCAGCTTACCCCTTTCCCTGAATCCCCTCAATTCATACAAATATTCATCTCTGCTAAAGCCAGGCTGACATTAAGAGCACAGCCTGAGCCTGCATCAGTTTCCAAGCCAGTGAGTGGCCACAGGAATTGTTATGCTTACAAAGGGGTGCTTCTTTTAGCAACTATACTGGCACAAAGTAGAAGCACAGAACAAATGAGGCCAATATCCAATCTCTTTTATACAATCAGAAATGAGGCTCCAAGTGGTCAGGCACTGGAATGGGCTCCCATAGAGGTTGTGTAATCCCCATCCCTTGAGCTTTTCAAAACAGCTCAGCAGAGTCTTGAGCAACCTCATCTAACTTACAAGTGTGACCCACTCAAAAAAGCAGCTGGCAAGAGGCTTGCAGAAGTCTCTTTTGAACAGAGGCATCCTAAGCTATCACAGCATATTTAAGAATAGCTGTTACAAATCCAGGCTGCATAATTCACTTACCCCCAGAAAGTTGTGGGCAATTTTACTTATGCAGAAATAGTAAAAGGTGCAGGTTCTGCTCAAGGTTATTCAGTGGAAAGCCAATAATACCCATAAGCTAGAACCCATGTAGAAAACCACATCTTATGGAAAACATCCTAAATAGCCTTCTGCAAACCCACACACACCCCTAATAAGTAATGTATGAACACCTGTCCAGTACTGTTGATGATCCATTGTAAAGACTTCCCTTTAAGGCCTGTGACAGATGAGACAACCTGCAGTCCATTCAAACTGCTCTGAGAAAACCTAACATTGATTTGCTCTGTGCAATAAACCAGCAACCATTTGAATAAGCAGTAACACACAGGGCCATGTCATTTGCTTTCAAGAAGAGGGAAGATTCAAGTTTCCCCCTACTTTCAACTAGATTTCTCCAAATCCATCTCCAAAGTATTCTTTCTACCTCTCTCCCTTCAAATCTTGGCTTTCCTTTCTTCATAAATTCATCCCAACTCAGTATCTGTTTCTCCAGAAATTCAAGCCCTGACACAGGAAGACTGACAGCTCCGAGCATCCTAGTGCATAGTGTTGTGCACTAGGGAAGTAGCAGGAGGTGCTACTAAGCTGGAAAATGCACCCTGAAAGCTTTCAACCACCACAGATGCCTGTGGTACTCCTGGAGAAAGGCATGCACACACCAGTACAGATGAGAGCTACCTACTTTCCTTACAGTAAAGTTAAATAAATACTTCACTGCAAAGTGCTCCAAGTGCTCATAGTAATAGATATTTAAGCCCATTCACGTATAACTAGCAATAGGATTGACAGGGAACAGCTTCACACGGCAACAGAGGTGGTTCAGACTGGATATTAGGAAAAATATCTTCTCTGAAGGAATGGCCAGGTGCTGGAATGGGCTGCCCAAGGAGGTGGTGGAGTCACCA